AAATAGCTTTGGAACATACAATAAGTTTGTTACGAAAAATATTCATTAATACGTACTTCGAAGGCAGCCCTAGTAAGTTCTTTTCAAAGTTGGTTAGGTAGAGAGGGGCTTGGACAGTGGAGGTAAGCGTTTATCGCACGTTAGATAGGGACCTCTAAAACCTACACCTGGGTCGCAATTCCCAGGCACTGTTGAAGCTCCTCTGCCTGCAACGATGGACCAGGCACCCGCACGTTGAATATATTGAATGCAAAGAGCTTTCATATCTTTCTTTAAAATAAAGTTAATCATATTTCAATAGTAAATAAAATCATATATATGAAATATTAGTGCCGCCTCGGATAAAATAAGCGTGATTCGAGGTTCAATTATTTAAAATACGCTGTATTTTTCGTTGTTTTTTATTCCCTGACGGTTTTCTTATATCAGGCTTTAGTTATTGACACAGTGTCTACCACCTAACTGCTTTATGTCTCCCTACCACCAACATACTCACCACAAGTTTAACTCGTCAGGTTATATTCGAAGTGAATCAATTTTCTCTTTCAGTAACCTGCGATATTACTACAATAATAATGTGCCAAGAAGTATAAATGAAAACTATTATATCAATCAATATATTAGAAACAAAATTCTTATTACAAACGGTCAATACATTTTGCTGAGTGCAAGAACCATTGTATAGATTTTACATTCATATTGATTTTCATTATTATCTTTAGCAAAAAGTTGAGGAATACATGTTATGTGCTCTTAATTCGCAGGCTATTCTCATTGTTTTATTGTTTTAAGATAAATATGATAGCCATAAAGGTAAGTTTCATATTAATATGAGATGATGACAGTTGGAAATGAAAGAAAAACTGTAATAAAAAACCAGGAATCAGGATATTCCCGACGGACAGACAGACAGTTATTATAAAAGATTGTTACGCATTACGATTATGTACTACATTATAACAATTGTGTTTTAACATAATTGATATTGCTTTTTGACTTTGAACAACGGACACATTTAGAAAAATATTATTGAGATCATTCCAAATTATATTAGACCTTCCATTGTATAATATACGTGTTGTTTTCCTTTGATACAGGTAGTCGTCTGTATTTTGTATTGAAATCGCCCCTGCCCCGCTGCTAGCCACCCCTTGTATTAACCGTCCCAGTACTACCCCGGCTTGCTTGTACTACACTCGTTTTGAAACGCATTAATTGTACCTCAAAGTAAATAAATGTCAGTGAATGAACTATAATTTAACTACAATAACAGATCTTTCGTAAGCAGTGATTTATTTTTTAAGTTTTAAAAGACTGAAAAATTTTAAGTTTTAATATATAATTTGAAACTATTTAAACATACTTCCCTCAAAGCAACAAGTGAGCGATAATAAACGGGACATGATTCTTTACGACGTAAGTATACTAATTAATGAAAGAAATTACAGTAATAAATTACTTTAAAAAACTAAATAATTTAAAAATACACAATTATCAAGAAAAACAGTTATTTTTCAGACTAGAGAGAAGTTTCTCACAAGTCAAATTTAATGTTGAAAATTGTCCAAGTGTAAATTTAGTAATGAATCGTAGAGTTCAGTGGAACGTCAGTTACTGAAATAACGAAAGTATTTTAAAATTACTTCTTCGTTATCTTTTAAAAATAAACATATTATGTACAGTATATACAATACAGTATCATTTCCTAGTAGGAACGAGGTTCAATATGTTACCATATGTTACTACATTGTATCTTTATCGCCTAGAAACATGTAATATTCATAAAATTGATGAAAGTTTCATAGAGGACGGTTCCGATTGAGATGACGATGCGTAGGTGTTATTTTATTACTTGTTCCAATGAAAAAAACATGTTATTGGTGTTACATGATGTGACATATACATAAATATAGGTCTGTATCTATATGTCCAGTCATGTACATACATACATAAAGATATACATATACAGGGTGACTGGTGAATTACTATCAATATTTAAGGAGGATACTCGGTACATGATTCTCATTCGAATTATGTAAAAAAAAATAGGTACTTAATTTTTGACCAAATTTCCGTATAAATAAATAAAGTGTGGACACGTCCCAAGTGTTCCAAGTGTGGACGCGTGCGGCGGCGTGCTGATACAACACCACGCCGCCGCACGCGTGTGTGTGTGTGTGTGTATACCTAATCTGTAGGGTGTTCACACGATGCGTAATTAATTACATAACTTTTGGTTAACTTTACTTAGAAGTTTATTAATATTTATGGTATATTAATTTTTATTTTGTCATATATGATCGTCAAACATCACGTCCTCAAGTGTCGATAGTAATTCACCAGTCACCCTGTATAATATAGACTCAAACATTCATTATTATGTACTGACATATAACAAATGAATGTTTGAAATCAGTGGTAAAACTCATTGTTAATTCCCAATAAGTGCCTTGAACGTAACCCACTTAGTAGCCGGTGTCCAAGCGTGGGTATTTACAAGGCTTCAGTACTATCAACGTAAGGTCAAGAACGCGTGGATATCTTGTAATAGTCTCTGTGGACTCAAAGCCTCGGGCCACGTGCATACAACCTCCGTTCTAAGGCTTAGATTTCACTACCGTTTATTAACGAAAATGAATTTCCTAAACTGGAGGAATCAAATAAATTAAACATCTTTATGAAACAACAGTTTATAGAAGATATAACATAATATGTATGACATTTTAAAACATATATTTTAGAAACTTTTGTTTTAAATCAGTTAGTTAAAGATTTTTCTTCTTCATGTTCAATTCAAAGTGGAACTAATTTAACAAACTCAATTTTCAAAAACCGTCTTTGAATGCAAACGTTTATTAATATATCTAAGGTATTGAGAATTTTCACATTTCTAAGGCTTTTAAACAGAAGTTCTATTTTCATTCTCAATATTTCACAATCTGTTATTTGATATCCTTTCAACTACAGTAGAACTACGGTTTCAATACTCGGATCAATTGCAATTGTTTTTTCTATTGTATTGCACCAATTTGAAGCTACTTCTGACAATAAATAGTAATAGTACTGTTTCTTCGTCTATTGCAATAAAGTTGATTGAGAACTCTTTGTATTTTTTTAATTCTTACAATTTTAATAACAAACCTCCTTTGATTTTATAATATCTGTGCTTTACTTCAAACCTGTATATTACAATTTTATTAATGATTTGATGTCTACATATTATAATTTATCTATTCATCTAGCTATCAGTTAGTCCTGACTTCGTCTGCATATTTCAAAGTTGGGCGCCCTAGTTGTTCGTTATGTTTAATTTACTTTGGACAGCCATACTAGCCACGTCAAAGTTTTGTTAGATTTACAAACAGACGGAGATACGTAAGATTAATGAGTGAGGAAATAATATATACGTTATTTAAATACACACAAATACACACACATTCATATATAGAATGTATACATACTAAGAGGGATAGAGAACGCACAACAATTATTAAGTTTACACAAGCATGCACACACTGAAGTAATCATAATTGCAATTTGCAGCAACTAATATTATCTAATATATTAAATATCATATATTAACCTTTCACAGAATACATTTAGATGCTGATATATGTACATATGCACATATATAAAGCAGTACATATTCCGTGCAGACACAAACTTAATGTATCGTACCTAAACCTATTTAAGGTCATTCCATTTGAACTTTAGCGCAGCCTGAAGCGAAACCCTCGCATCAAACAACACTCGTGGTATTTCGACCTCTGCTACATATTAAAATTATTATATGTACCCAAATTTTGAGACTATAGACCGCGTTATAAAAGGTGTCATGTCTCAGGGGTCTTGTAATAATGGACGCTACTTCTGACCGTCTGCAAGTAAGGACAAGTCTCACGTGTGTCAGATAGTTATGTAAAATTGGTCCGGGAGGCTGTGACGAGCGAGTGACGTCACTCGACGTTCATCCTTACATAACTATATGTACGATAGCGTTATTAGTGTGTATATATGAGGATTTTATAATATATACACACAAGGGACAAGTTAGAAGCGAACAGATAGTTTTTTAGACATAAAATAAACAGTAAATATCCTTATAATTACAAATATTGAATATCCTTAAAGAAAAAGAATATAAACGATTTCAAACGGGAATTTTTATATTATTTATTAGTTGCCAAGTACTTGATTTCAACATGTTAATGTAACAAAAAAATTATAGCCATCGAAACATATGTATTTAGCAATTCTTTTGTCTGTCGTTAGATTAAAAGACGAGCAAAGCCACCTGAATCAGCTAGTCATTATAAAAGTTACATTCCAAATCAAAAGGGTTCACAACATTTCGATATCAGTCAAGTGAGACGGACGAGGGCTCTCAAAACACAGAGGTGACCTTTCATCGTGTCTTGACATTTGAGATTGAAAGGCGAGCTGGTGATTCGCTCCTCACTTGGACCATACCCTCAGTTTGAAGGGCAGATATTAAATCATTGGAATAACAATTCAATTCCGTTGATGTTAAGGTACAGAATGCATTGTAGTTAGAAGATGAAGGTGTGAGGCTGTGCTGTGCGACGGCGGCGCGCGCAGGTTTTAGACTTATAGTGATGTGATCGTGTTTTAGTAAATTATAATGATTTATATATTATGTATATTGAATATGAATTAAGAATTTGTGGGTAGTTACAGAATAATAATTTTGACGATAAATGGAAAGTTTATAAACATCTGTTAATCTAGAGTGATTGAAAACATATTAAAATTCAATGTACATATACTGAGAATGATTCAAATATAAGCTGATTTTCAATTGAAGTTATTTAATAATCTATATATGTAATATTTTGAATCGCTGCCATAATTCTGTTCGCGGTACAACACTAGCGTTTTCAGCGTTCAGTATTACGAAGATGGGTGCCGTGAGAGGCGGGCTGCTGGCTCGAGTCTGAACTGTTCATAATAGTGGGAATATAATGTGATTGGCACCAGCCATGGGCGTGGATAGCATACCACCGCGGCCTACAGTGAGTTACTACACATTTTATACGTTTTCCCATACTAATATTGAATTAAACTTCAGTTAGAAAATAATTAGTGAACGTAAAAATCTTCTTTCTGTAGCTGTATGTATCGTGTTTGTGTCAAGTGTGAACTAAATCAATAATACTGCAGTTTTTAAAGTCGGTGATGGTTCTGTCATCTCCGCTGTCACCGCACCGGTTGACGTTATGGAAATTATAACCCTATTATACTTTGAATAGAATTGAAAATGCAATGCAATTATATAAAACAATGTAATCATTGTTACATGGTAATTAATGAATGAAAATTAAATAGCTGTTGTATTTTTCTTTTATTCATATAATAATGTATTAATTATATATATATACATAATCAAGTAATTTCTTACATTATCGTAGCACCGTAGCGTTGTAGCTCCGTAGCATCGTAGAGTATTCTGTATGCAAGCCTCTCATTATTAAAGATTATATTTAATGAGGTTCTATGTTTGAGTCTTCATTTAAAAAAACATTTTATTTTAATTTTAAACCAACCTTTTTGCTGTAACATGAATTAAATGTCCTTACATAGTTAAGGAATTACTCTTTAAATTATTTTATATACAATAATAGGTATCTTTATTAATACAAAAAATTAAGATAATTTTATTGATATGATAATGTTGAAATCTTACCATTTGTTATTATTTTATAATGTTATTGTTATTTTTAAATTACATATGAGACTAATTTGTATGGATTTTGTAATAGATCAATATTTATGTACAGATAAAAAGGCATAGAAAGAGTATAAGAGTATAGCATAATACATACTCGTAATAGTATATATACAAGAGTAATATGTACATACAAGTAATCTATTTTGGCTACATGCTGCCTTAATAAACGTTGCGTTTGGAAGAAAGGCTTTAAATAATTAGTAAATAAAACACATTTAATTACAGATTTTAATGACAGATTTTTCACACATAAAAATAATCATTATTACCAATATCATCGCAATTCTTTTCTCTTCTTCTACCTGGCAATTTCCCAGCTTTAGCCAGGGTCTGCCTTATATGTTGAGAATAGTCTTGACTAATTGTTTTTACAACCGGCCGCCTGCCTGACATCTACCCTCTTTGGGAATGCATTAATCAGTGATGTCTAAATACTTTTAGAAAGTACAATTGACTAGGAAAAATCATTTGTTCAAATTTCATCTGTTTTGTAAGGTAATTCTTGCATCAAATGAATCTTTTCTAATGTCTCATCGAGGTACGGCTGTGACAAGGCTGTGTTGTAAAACCGACTCGTGCCACGAAAGCGTTCGTCTTCATAAATATGTGATTAGTTTAGAAACGCGAAGAACAAATTAGTTGGCGTCGCTGAAAAAGTTTGCCACATATATATATATATATACATATATATAGATATATAGTCAGTGGTGTGATTTTTCAGAGTCATATGTACTTTCGAAGAGTATTTAGACATCACTGATTAATGCATTCCCAAAGAGGGTTGATGTCAGGCAGGCGGCCGGTCGTAAAAACAATTAGCTAAAACTATTCACAACATGTAAGGCAGACCCTGGCTATACCTGGGAGATTGCCAGGTAGTAAAGAAGATATATATATATATATATATACACGACCTTCTCCATGTGAGACTAGGCCTTTGCTTAACAGTGGGCTCTGATAGGCTGATGATGATGATGATCTAACATTGAAATATCTATCCCCGATCACAGTATCTCAGTTCACTTTTGCTCTCGTAATAACTCTCCCGTAAAATCGCTCGTTCCGTAAACAAACAATATGTATTTCCGTATACGGAAACCATCAAGTGCGATGATAGTATCATTCAGATGAATTATTTGGCATCATATTATACGTATACTAGTTTTCCGTTCAGCATTGCCTGCAATCTCCGAGGATTTTGCAGCACAACATGTATATGTTTATGTGTGTGTGTGTATGTCTATGTGTGTGTACGGTATACATATATGTAACGTACAAAATTATATTAAAGTTATGTTTGAGAGTCAAACAAAACCGACAGACGTAATATTATGTTTATATTTAAACAGTTGATCTTCATATACTTAGGTTATTTAGAAAATGTAATTTCTTCCCTATTATTAACTTATTATGTCCTTTCTATGTATACATTAGAAAAATACAGTATTTATTGTAAATATATATAAAATACATGAATTCTCTGTTATCTTAAGCTGATAATAGTTGATAGTTATGTGACCAAACCTTGGATAATTTTAGATGTCATTTAGTTGTCACTCTCGGAGCTTTAGGGATTTAGTGAGGAGTGGGAAGGGACAATTGGATTTGGGAGAAGTTATAGAGAAGTAAAAGCCTCTTAGCAATCATTCGTCCAAAAAACCTTGACGTAATAGACAAATACTTCATAATATAGGAACTAAGACTTTTTCGAGTATTCATTTAAATAAAACTAGTATTTTTCGGATATACTATGCGGTTAATTTTAGTAAAAAATATCATACTCCCGACGTTTCGACTACTTTTCAGCAAACGTGATCACGAGTAGAGGAGATGTGAATGTCTGTCAGTCGGTCTTGTTATTTATCATCTATCGCCATTCATTTATTAATTTTCAAGAAGCCGGCTACTTCATAATAGTTCAGCTTTGGGAAGATATGCACTTTTTCAGTTTATGTACAGCATGAAATGTGTCGATAACGGCTACACGAGCAATAACTAAATGAAAAAATATTAAAAAATCTTCGAAATCAAATCGCAGCTATCATTTCATTGAATAAAAGGCATCTTTATATTTTGAAAGTACTAAGTACTAGTTCAATGGTATGTTAAAATAGGACTTAACCGTACTCAGTGTTAGTTATTATGGTTTAACAGAATTAATGATAATAATGTTCTTACTTTGTAATTATTTGGAACACAACAAAGGAGGTTGTATACAAAAAGGTTTTATATAAACATTCCTCTAAAGCTTGTCAGATTTAAAACCTGTTAATAGCTATGTTCTCGAGTGTCCGCTTCTATTTTGTACCTTCGTTGGGCTACCTAGTGACGTCATTCGCTGGGAGCCAATGCCCGCGATCTTTGTACTTATTTTGACATTTTCGGATCATTTCACTGAACTCTGACATTTGAAATAATATAGATAGTTATTGTAATTGTTATTTGAGAGTTGTTTCAAAAATATTATTTGTTTTCTATTTTTTATTACTGATGTTTGCGGAGAAGTAATGAATAAATAAATAATAATTCGAGCTCATTTTTTCATTCGATTCATTGAGTCTTTGTAGTATTTATAATTATTTCTACATACATATAATAAAAATTCCCATATGTGATACATATAAAGCTAGTAAAGAACAGCAATTTATAGAAAACTTTAGACATCTTTCCTTTTAATTCGTCAATGAAAAGATTAGAATGAATGAGTATTGATTTTATATAATCTTTTATAATGAAGGTATTTCAAAACAGATAATTATAATTCTGAACGATTCATTAATTATTATTTAACAAGTATAAGTATTATTGGAATATAAGAACGAACGGTATAACAATATTTATCTTTTCGCCTTTATTCATTGCTTTAAAGTTATTAAGTAAAAGATAATTTCATTTTATAAGAAGCTTAGAGATACGAAATTTGTTTAATAAATTTAGGTATATTAACATAAAGATATTACGACATACATTAGTTTGCATTTTGTACTCTATTACCTAAGATATACGATCGATTTTTCATTAAAGTATATTTATAAGATCACAGCACAAAAACGACCAAGAGAAAAGTAATTTTTTCAATTTCATTAATCCATTTCAACAAACATCACCTCGTAATGAGATTTCCTCGGATAGATGTTTTAATTAATCAGAATTTTTAATATTTGATACATTTCTTTACTATTAATTAAATTTGGAATGATGGCGTACGTATTTATATTAGATAGGGTTATATTATTAATAACTTAATAGAAATAAAGTTATTTAATTTACATATTTATACGCTTACATCTCTTCGGCCCATGAAATTACAATGATTGTAAAGTGATCAAGCTTTCGCATAGGTTATAATGATTTAAGTACATTATTAAAGGTCGAGAGTTATATCTCGAACTAGTTTCCATAATGATTCCTGTGTCTTATTCCAGTTGCAGCTGGAAGCAGGCTCGGGGGATGGTCCAGGTCCTCCGATGAACAACAACGCTGACGGCGCCGTGGCCAGTCCCCCCAGAGATGACAACCACAACCCAGACCCAACCACGCCGAGAGCCACGCAAATTACACCCTCAGGTATGTACAACTTGCCCTTTCCTTGTTCCCACTCCTCCCCATCCCCAAAAATACCAAGCTTGGCAACGCATCAGCAACAGAGATGTTGCGAATGTCCATGGGTGACGGTAACTACTGCCCATCAAAAATCAAATAGGCTATCTGCTCATGTGAAATGTACATAAAAAAATAACTTGAAATTTGAACCTTCTCACATTTAGTTCAGGTCACTGCTCTGAACGATTCAAGAAATAATTCTCTCTTATATTTAATTTGATTTTTATAAATAAATAGCATTTTCTTATAATAGTTCATGGTTTATTTGATTGAGGAAGTAATAAGACTGAACTTTGACCGACCCTAGAATGAATAGCTCTGAGAACTTTGTTAAATTTAGTAACGAATAGAGTTCCTAAGAATACACTATGAAAAAAAAAATAGAACTACAAAAGCCTGAATGTCGCTCTGTAAATAGAAAAGCAACAGCAGCGCTATAGAATTTCTGAAGAGATTGAAATCGAAAACATATTACAGAGATCGGGCGATCTTTACATATTCAGTACTAAAAGGATTCCAACGTCAGGGTCTGTAGGGTAGGCTTTTATGGACTGGATGGTGATAAATTGAGTGATTTATCCCGCTACGACTTTTCTATTTCTACAAAACGTGCTGAATTTTATCAATTCGTGTAAAATATAGGAATCTAAAGGAAAAATATCAAATAATATTTAATGTGAGTTAGTTTAAAATACTCACAGCTCATCATTTTTCTAACTGTATCTTATACTAACACAGTCGCAAATCAAACAATGGAAAAATTTATTAAAGGTCACGTAATCTTTTAACAAAAAATATATTTTATGACGGAACCTTTGAAGTGGACCCGTCAAACGTTGGAATTTGTAATTCCTTTTACAGAATTTCGTACACGTGTTTGGGGTAATACAAAGGATTGAACGCGTGGCTTGATGAAGTGCTCATGATATATAACATTGAGATAACAATTTCGTTATTGCTAATCTTTAAATATTAATGAACAATTGGAGAATAAGTTTTTGAAATATATGAACAATTGAAAAATAATATTAAATGTAGTTATTAATGGATATAGAAATTAATTAAATTCTAGGTTACATCTGAATTTTTGAAGTACTTGTATTTATAACGTTCTGTTTAATTCCAATTGCAGCGCTGTACGTGTACTACTTTTTTCAGAGCTCTCGTATTCGAAATAGCATTATAAGGTCAAAGATGAAATTAGTTCAAATTTACGTTTTAAAAATACTTTTCATTTTTTTTTGTTTGTTTTGATCAGCATTGGTTGTGTTCGTGTTTCATGCTGAAAGCTATTATACTGTTGAAAATAATGGCTTTGTTACAAGAAAGATATAAATAAGAAAAGAATATCATTTTTATTTGGTATCGTTATTTTATTCTCTTTTTAAGTTTTAAGACGGAACTGTCTTTTGTCTTAAAATTTTTGTTAATACAATATGATACAATCTTAAATAATTTCATAAGAATGTCATGAAAATCAATAAAGTTTTTCTAAAGAATATTCCCGCCAAATAGGATGAATAAAATTTTGATATAAAAAAAATTACATAACGACTCGAGGAAACATCAAACATACACTCACCACTAGCCTCGTATAGCCACCATGTTTTTGTGTGTATAAGTGGTCCCCTTTTTATATGAGGGTTTCCTAGCCCCCCTCCCACCTAGTCTGAGAGAAAACAGTAGTTTACTGTGCAGACATGTTTTGGTTGAACCTTAAATCCACCAAATAAACCCTAGCTTACTAACTCCTACAGACACGGCATACCATACATACTCAAATTACACTCTTGAGGATAACTTGATAAGCGCGCCGGGGTATGTGATAATACATTTCTTTGAATCTTATTCTTGGGGAAAGGATTGTTTTTCACGGGATCCTTTGACATGTGCGGATGACATAAGTAATGTGATTTCTTCAGGCGATCGAATACTTTATTCCCTTCACCGAGATATAGATTAGTGTCAAAGTTCCACCTTTGTTTACGGCTGAACACGGTCATTCAGTAGTATTGGAGCCACAAGCATTCGGCGTGTTATTCCCCGGAAGAAATGGCAAAGCAAAAAAAATTGGTTGTTTGTAAAGTAGGTTTACGATCGAGATGTTTACGTGGTAACGTCTTATTGGTGATATAAGTTTTTGGGAAGTAAGGAATTAATGAAGATAACAATTTTTTCAAATTTTAAATTACATCTATCGTTTTATTCACACTTTTGATGGTAAATTTCGGGTGTAAAATGACAAGTTTACTTATTCGACTATGATATACATTTTTCTTCATACATACATTCATACAAATATACTTTTATACATTTATACAAACATTTATGCATACATACATAACATACCATACGATCAGTTACAATCAGTTAAAATCTCCATTCGTTTGTATGCCGCTAGAGTGAGAGAGACGGAAGATCGGTCCACTCACTCGAACGCTATGCCTGCCTCCGCTCGTGAGGATTCCGCGTGACAAGTTTCACGGAATGACTGGCAGCGCTCGAGATGAGACGGGAGATCGGTCCGTCTCTCTCTCTCGTTATACCTGCGATCGCGCTCGTGAGGTTTTGGTGTGACACAAGTTTCTGAACATGTCACCCGACTAAAACGATTTTAAAGACGTTATCACGTCAAAAAGAACGTTTAAATAAGATTTCGAACGCGGTAACCATTGTGGCCCTCTGTGCTCAAAAAACTAAAAGAGTTGAGCTTTGTAGCGCCTTTCTAAAAAGGTCAAGACAAGCTTTGACAGTCCTTACTACTTCCTCTAATTTAATCTGCTGGAATGGTAGCATGTACGTTCATCAAAATTGAAACTGTTTGCAACTGTTTGAAGTGATATCAATCCATGTCTCGTGACAGACGAAAATCTCCAATGTAGGAAATTAAGAGGGGCGAAACCGATCTCGTGAAAATTAATGCCACCAGAATTCAAGCGTGCTTTTTTCCGTAAATGCCTGTCAATTCACTAAAACTCAGTCTCTATTTTACCATTGAACAACCAATCGCATGGTGAGCCTCCATCCTTTGGTTACATATCTTCTCCCTGTCCGGACGAAGTAATGCGCTTCCTCCAGCACAACATCTGGTACGAACAGTTTTCCTGAGTATGTTTCCTTCCATTTACAATTAGTGTGTGTAGAGGGCAAGAGTGAAGAGGTCACAACTAATTGTGAATTAACTAGATTAACTTATTCCTACCAAGCATCAGGTTCAAAGATATTCAAGTGCTATCCATTTTAATTTTTATATTAAAAACAAGTATAAATTACTTGAAATTTTTTGAATAGTGACAGGTCAGGTCACCTAACTTAATTAATGATAGATCATGCCTTAGGTAAAGTCACCGTTTCATTTCTTCATTTCAAACTCAATTCAATATAAGACCAAAGAAAATAAGGCTTTCAGATTCCGAAGCTATGAACATTTTTTCGAGAGTAGATCTCAAATATTCTTATTACAGTTTTGAGTAATTTAAACAATAAAATATGTAATTATGAATGGAAAGAGGTTTAAGGCAATACAAACTTATCCCGTCTTGACCTTTTAAAAGTCTATTTTTAGTTAGTTTTGTAAATTTAGCTTAGAACAATAACAATTGTTTCTTTCAGGTTAAAACTAAATTTCATATCGTAGAAGGTATAATGAAAATATATAAAAGAGATATTGAAATTTATATCAGTTAAGAAATATATACTTATAGCATCAGTTTCTTTAATTATGAACAAATGTAAAGAATAAGTGAATTACTATTCATGATTATACTATTGATATTACTACTATTCTTCTACTAACTGATCTGATAGAAGTTAGTTCGTAAATACATGTTATTTATATTCTGTAAGTGTAGTGTAATTACAATATAAATGTGTTCTAATTAAGACGCTGACCTATATTCCGCTTCGCAGGAACTTGCAACTTGCAAGTAACCAATGCACGTAACATAACTTATGTTGCAGCTATTAATAGTTGTATGTTTCATGATTTAGTATAATGACAAAAGATTTATGATATTTAAGATATTATGATAAAGTTTACTTAATTTATATCTTTCTTTCTTACATTATAACCAAAGATTCTGGATGATTTGATTGGTTACGAACCGATATTGATTAGCATTTAAAAGATTTTTATCAGATTCGTTACTTTCAAGGATTATTTCAAGGGTTTCTAACACACATATAAAATTAAAATTGCTTAAAGTGTTGCTTCATACTTGCACCTCATTGAAATTCTCATAGTTTTCTCATTTTTTTTTATGAAAAGATTAAAAGAATGAAATATTCTCTATTACTTAAACTCACTTAGCACTTATTAGTAATTAGTACCTTTACAATCTTCAAACAGCGTTTAATACTCAAGATATACCTTACATTTACCGCAAAACGTTGGACCTAATTCTATTATCCCTAGACCTCTTGAACGTCAGCTTCGAGTGAGATGGCGTTGTGCCAGAATTGATACAAGGCGGTACGTCAAGCAACGAACTCTGCTGCCGCTTGTATTCGAGTAACATGGATAAGCTACATGTGTGTTTTGAAGGATATACTTAGGTCTTAGAGGTTACTAAATACATATAAAACTACATAAGGAAGGTTGTAAATGACGCTAACTTGCGTAAATAAACATAATTAAGGAGTTAGCACATCTTTTCGATACTTGTATACATTAAATGAACTTAAAAAACATTGACGCACAAAAAATATTGATATCTTATATACCACGGCATACATAGGAAATAATTATTATAGTAGAGTGTTAGGAATATTTATTATTTTAAAATAACACTTCATCTAAACATGCTTTTGAAAACGGATCGATAGCATTAAACAAACTTCTCTAGAATTAATTCTATACGGTATCCGATGGTGATTCTTGGTAACGTTCCGGGCTCATTTTTGTGTAATATTTGCCCAAAATAATGATATTAATACGTCGGCTTTATGAAAAATTTACCAAACAATATCTGGAAAAATAGCTTCATTAGAAAGTAAAAAATATACAAGTATTTTGATTCGATAGGGCTGCAGATTAACATTTTTAAAACTGAAACCACAAGGACTCCCAAAGTGGTATGAAAATTATCTCATTTGTCTCATGGCCACTTAATAATAAAATGAGATCTAAGATTTTCGCGAGTATTCCTTTAAATGAAACTAATATTTTTCGGGTGTACTACGCGATTCTTATTTTAGGTAATTTACAGCAACAGTCGATGCTTTATAACCGAAACGTCGGGAGTATGTAGTTTTTGATATAAATTAAAATCGCGTGGTACATCCGAAAAATATTAGTTTTATTCACTTAATAATATTTTTTTTATGAAATGAGTTTTAATAAAGTCATTTTTTAAATATAATTAATGAAAAATCTAGAAGATGCCGTGAAGGCTTTTTAGCCTTGGTATATTATTGAAACAAGACTCGCTCTTTATCTTGTTTCACCTTGTTTTTATTTTATTTCTTCGCGTCATTTTCAAAACATTGGTAGCCTTATTTCCTGACATTTATACAAGTGTTATTAATTTTATTTCATTCTTAAATTAATAAATTAACAATTTTAATGCAAAAAACATTTAGGTAAATTAAAGGGCCAATTAAACCTTTTAACTTCCGACGGCTTATTAAAATCTTCACGTCTTTCAAAAGGTTAAGTGGCCTTTTTTATTTTTCGAATGACTGTCCTAAATAAATTTCACCTAGATAAATTATAAAATGAGTAGATGTATGTGTAAATTAATTCAAATATCCTTTTGATACATGATTTAAATATAAACTATTCAAAACAAAATAGGACCCACCAGGATTTAACAACAAAAGTGTAGGCCCTATTTTGTTTTGACTAGTCTATTATGAAGCTTCACTTGCTATTTATGCTTTTAAAAATTTACAACTAATCCTCCAATGTAGTCTCTAAATTGCTCAATAAATTTTAAACTTAGCAACTAATATTACGGTAATATTGAGGCACATACATATAATATTTATAGAATATACCATACTTTACAAAGTACTAGACATTCAATTTTAAATAGTTACGCAGTATCTCGCTCGCAATTTTACATATTTAACAAGGCTTCATACTCATCGAATATATTTTATAAGTAGAAAAGTTTATTGCTTTACTGTATACTCTTTTAGATATATATTTTAAAGAAATTAACTATTATTTAGGAATTATTGCTTATATAGTAGGATAAAACAAAAAATGATGAATTCTATGTTATAACCAATCACGATTAACTTCTCACATTATTTCATAGAATATAATTGCGTATATTTTTCCATGTCTATTATTTTAAGTGACCCGACCTTGACCCGTCCCGGGCCGAGATTGACGCGACTCCCCCGGGCAAGGCTCTGTTTGAATCTGATGACGATACGATTGTAGATATTCTGATATTTAGTTATTCGGTCCACTAATAAATCAAGATATTTGGCCTTCGTGCCAAAACAACACAATAAAACTGACAAACTCACGGACAATGCGCTAGAATTAAGGAAGAACTTCATGTCTAGCCTTGGAAGTAAATACTGAAACTGCGCATTCTTTGAAGTATATAAAACTCTTATAATACACCCACCTAGTGAGTTCAGACAAATTAACTTTATTTAATTAAATAAAATAGTGTTTATTTTATCTAGTTAATTTGTTTTTAATGTCTGAAACATTTTGTTTAGGCTACTGAGTTTATGGAAATTGTTTTATAAACAGAAGTACTGAAACTATACGGCGACCGGCTATCAGAATGGGAAAGGACGGAGGTGCGAAAATATCCAGAAATATGGTTCCTGGGACTAGAGGCGAATAAAGTCCAGGCGAGATCCAACCTGCCCAATAATTGTGGTTTTGATGATGAAAACGGCAGTTACAATAAAGTAAGTATTAAAAAGAACATATGCGATGGCTATGAAAATTCATAGCTCGTATCGTCCGATATTGTTTGTAAAACATATCCCTAAAGAATCTTTATATTACGAGCTTGAAGTAGCTTCAAAGAGATGCAAGCTATAACAAGTCTTTAACACGATAAGGGGCTTGTAATAGCTAATATAACGTTTAACAACTTGCTCGTTATGTGACGCAGGAGCCGGGCGTCTGTAAAAATGTAAATTCTGACCCCATTAGCCGGATACGTTCATCCAACAAAAAACTAGACGTAATTTTACATTTTACAGCAAATCCATGATCACATAGCCTATCGATACGAAATTCTAGAAGTGATCGGGAAGGGTTCATTCGGACAAGTAATAAGAGCATTGGATTACCGTACGGGAAACCAGGTCGCGATTAAAATCATCAGAAACAAGAAACGGTTCCATCATCAGGCCCTCGTGGAAGTGAGGGTTCTGGATCATTTGCGGTTAAAGGACAAAGACCAATCGCACAACGTCATCCACATGCTGGACTACTTCTACTTCAGAAACCATTTGTGTATAAGCTTCGAACTCATGAGGTGAGATTACTAAGTTTTTATTAACTTACTAGCCTTCCAACTATTATAATAACTAATGAAATTTGAAGTTGAAATAAAATCACAGACGTTATAATTTTGAAACTATTCATTGGTTTCAACCTTGTTCGATCGCAAAAACTGTATAGTTAATAAAAAGCCTGCCAAGTCATTATTTTTCTATTAAAGTCCATTACGTGCCGATAATAAGCGTTGTTCAATTCTCAAATCGCGAGCTTGCACAAAACTTGGGCAAAGCATAATAAATAGCATTGTCGAGTCAGTGTCACCTCGTGCCAGGATAGTGCCGTAATTATCGCTTCCATTCTAAGTGAAGTTCCATTAGGGATAGCAATTTGATTAGAAATACATTTTGGTAATATTTTTATTTGTTAGAATATTTTTCGTAATCGTGATTACTATAAATTCCTTTGGTGTTTATGACATTTATATAATTCCAAGAACAATTAATTCTAAGAACTTTATTTTGTCTAAAAACTGTTGTTATACAAAAAGCATTCTTTTAAATATTCATTTAACAGCAGAACATATGGTTTTAAGTCTGATTTAATTTTGAATATAAGAATGTTCATTTAAAAGTACATAAACATCATTAATCTCGTCAGATATTTACATAGGTTAATATTTTTAACCATATCCAACCTCTTTAGTACTATCTTTTTGGAGTAAATTTTACTGAAAATTAAGTAGATTTAAATAGTTGTGTTTATGTTTCCAGCATTAATCTGTACGAGCTGATCAAGAAGAACAACTACCAGGGGTTCAGTCTGAGTCTCATCAGACGGTTCGCCAACTCTCTGCTTCGCTGTCTCCGGTTACTGGAGGCTGAGAACATCATTCATTGCGATTTGAAACCTGTACGTGGAAATGTTGCACTATTCTAATAGTATACAATTACGGATACGACTTCTTAGGTTTCCAGAATAATCGTAATAAATTACTTCAGGCTTTAATTAGAAGCTGTGACATTAACTGTTGATAATATCTATAATAGAGGAGAATAGAACTAAGGAAGAAAATGAATATACATACATAAGTCTTATACAATCTATAAATCACAGCATATTAATGAAAATTCTTGTATATTAATTATCTAATTCAAATTAATTAATTGAACTCTTAGTCTAGAAAATCAAAACCAAATACTTTTGTAATATGGCCATATAATTCCAGGAGAACATTCTGCTGAAGGCTCGAGGCAGTTCCTCCATCAAGGTCATAGATTTCGGTAGTTCATGTTACACGCACGAGCGAGTCTACACCTACATACAGTCCCGCTTCTACCGCAGCCCTGAGGTCATTCTGGGACTGCAATACGGAACCCCTATTGATATGTGGAGCATGGGTTGGTATTACAGAGATTATTGGTTATTTTAACATCATCATCAGACTATCAGAGCCCATTCTGAGCAAAGAACTCTTTTCACATGGAGAAGATTTGAGCATTAATCACCACGCTTGCTAAATACGGGTTGTTGATTTTAAGCTTACTATTGAAATTATAAGTTCAGGTTTCCTCACGATGTTTTCCTTCACCGTCTGTCAGTGATGTCTAAATACTCTCAGAAAGTACATATATGATTTTAACATAGAATGTACAAATTTGATTGGTATATTGAATTATACTCTTTCCAAAAATTATTAGGGCTAATTCTATGGAAGAATTAGGAATTTTTAAACCATTTTATACAGTATTCCAATTAGATCTTTCTAATGCTTACGTGAACTCAGAGAGTAGCGGCTACTGTGTATTGCTCAATAACTGTTGACTACGCAAAAGGTTTCAATCTGTCTAGCCAGTTATTATCTAGACCTGATCTCACAGACTGGAGTGTTATATAATGTTGGAAGCACGCGTTGGGTCATCGCTGATGATAGATAAATGTAGCGCTAATAATGTTTTATAGGTATTTCACATTTTTGTCCATTCCTTACTTAATAATTAGGTGGTTAAGATGGTTTAGATTTTATCGCGCAGTTAATAATAATTATCAAAATAAAACGACCAATGTGAAAGCACTGAGTAATATATCATAATTTAGTTAAGAGCTAACTTTATTAATTATTATTTATACTATTGAAATCACAATGAAATATATATATGTATGCTAAATATTTTAAACAATATCACGGTTTACTCAAACGCCTTCTGAAAGAAATAAATTATTAATTAACAGAACAAAAGAGTAGACATAGTTTTAAAATGTGGTTTAAACCGTGTTATGACTTTATGAGTCAGATTAGATATATGTTTTAGATGTTTAATGTTTAGATCAAGTAGGTATATTTATTTATTGGGAACAAAAAACATCCATATAATACCAAATATACCGGTTAATGTCAGACACTCTGAGACTTTGATTAATCACCGCTTCAAATTGATCACATTTAACATACTTCTTGTCGTATCAAACTGATTATTTCGCTTACCATTCATATAAATGTACATAATTCATAGTCTTAAAAGTTTAAAACAGTATGAAATTGTTCATAAAATATGTAACCTTTCTAACCTGTTATTTGAATATATTTATAACAGATCACATAACAGATATAAATATATTTATAAATATTTTAATAAGAATATAGTCTTAATGCACTAGTAATAAGGGCGAATTTCACTTAACATATTTATGCATTATTCGGACATTACGTAAGCAAGTTTGTAGAAAGCCGAGAGAAAGGCGACACACGTGCGATCCGCAAATATCGAAGCATCATTTTTACGCAACAGAATACATCTTATGACATTTTTATATAATTTAATAATATATTGAACTCCGAAAATAATGACCGGCATAAAGATGTAGGCCAGAAAACGACATTTAGGCGTAGGTACTGGCATTAAAATACATATGTTATTTGATTTAATTTGCGTATTAGTTTATATAAACAAAATAAAATAAAATCAGGTATTCTAGAACTGAGTTGTAAAAATAAAACATGTTTTTCATTCCTATTACATTAAAGAATATTAATTTCTGATCTGACTGTTATACATTTGCAGAATCTCAATAAACACATGCCACTCCCAGTTTTAAGCCAATCACTGACAGCTTTATAATAAACATAGAAAACCGAACTAGGCTGCATCCTGCAGGCTAATGATATCACCAATAGGATATTATTTTGGCTTGGACATTGATTAAATACAGCTGGTTTAGGCACACATGCCGTATATAGAACCTGTATAAATTACCATTATAACCAAAACATAAATTAAGTCCAATGCCAACGATTTAACTAGCAATTATACCAGGTTGTATCCTCGCCGAGCTCCGCACGGGGTATCCATTATTTCCTGGAGAGAATGAGACGGAACAGCTGGCCTGCATCATGGAACTGCTGGGGCCGCCTCCACCCGACCTGCTTCTACACGCCACAAGGAAACGTCTGTTCTTTGGTAAGAAAATACAATTTCACTTGTTTATAATTATCTTTCAATGCCTTTTTTCCTCATAGTCCGCATGAAATGACGGTTTTAGGAAGAAAGAAAGAGATTAAAGTTTCCTTATATCCAAGTTTCTGACGTTGAGATAATTCTAACTTAAAGCAGAACCATATACGTACCATCATGGCTATCCCTAGATTCGGCAAAAAAGCTTGATCAGACTGAAATGTATCAGCATATAAATTACATACTAATCCAGATTCTAAAGGCTGTCCTCGCTCGGTGACCAACTCCAAAGGTCGTAAGCGTCGTCCAGGGTCCCGAGCATTGGCTGCTGCTGTCCGTTCAGACGACCCCGCATTTCTGCACTTCCTTCATCGATGTCTTGAGTGAGTCATCACCCTATACCTATGAATGTTTGTGGGGTCTGATTAAATTGGTTATGGGTAGACACCCACAAGAGTTCCATAGTCAGTCTAGACTTAGGTACTATAGTACAGACCTACCACAGTACCTAAGTCTAGACTGACCATGAAACTCGACCTTAGCATGACAAAAAACTTCAGACTCATATAGTATAAGTCTATATGGTATTAACAAACGTTATATTCTTGAAAGTGGAACGTTACCAACACAAAAGAACGACCCATTTGCTTTGGTAATGTCTTGTTTCTATAATTATTATTGTTATAAGTTTCCATTTATTAGTGAAGAAATATTAATAGCATTTCGTAAGACGCGATCTCTTTATATACAAGATGCTGCACGCTACTTTGTTTTCGTTTTTAAATGCTCTATGAAACTTACTGATTTGATTGCTTAAATAAGAATATTTGTAAGATTTTTTCGAAAATATTTCTTCGCGAGATCAAGTCCTTGCGTCCTGTAGTTAGTCTAGTTTAGTTAAAATGGGTGCAACCGCTTTAGAGATTAGCTGCAACATACACATTAACAGATATATTAAGAAATATGTATATAAAGGTACGTCATTTGTTGCAAAGTAGAAAAAAATATTTCGCCAATTACAAAATTATATTATTCTAGCAATGATCAAAAGTTTTATTGATAGTTCAACAGACTTAATATTGTTTTATTGTATAAAGTTTATAATATTTGATGAGATCAAATAACAATACAATTTTCAACATCACTTTAAAAGACACCAAATCAAATATAAGTAAGTTATTATTAAATCTTTTGCTTAAATAGTATACTTTACTACATTTTATTATATGTATAAACTGCTTGAAGTTGTAAACATAACCTGTTCATCATTTTTGAATATATTAAAATGAATCGTGAACTTTCTCTGAAGTTCACACTTTTTTTGTATCTGTAGGAAGGAGCGGTCGTGAATGAAATATCTAATAACCGGTAAATGTTGAAAGTAAAAGTTAATTCTCACGACAGAAAACCATTCGTTTCCTCTCTTATACAAATTACATAAAGCTGATAAATTAATTAGTAACACAATATAAAGTTTAATTGGTCCGCCCTTTTACGTGGGAGTCTAATTCAATTAATTGGTATGAATATATTCAATTAATATCTTGAAATACTTTATATATAGTTTAAATTGCTTTCGAGTGTCAGGTAAGAATGATGACCAGTTGTTTTCGCATCATCAAAGCATTATATTTGATATGGTCTGTCGAGTTCAACCGACCTTTGGTAATCGGGGTCGGATTTCCTAACAATGGACTATTTTGTGAATCTCCTCGTCAATTTTTCATTATAATTGGCATTTTCATACAAACGAAGTTTTACGTAATTTCTGTAGATAAAATAAAACTTAATTGTGTGTTTGTTATTTTCGTATATTTTTCTCAAATATTAATGTTCATTTTACACGATTCTCTTATTCAGTAAATATTTAATTAACAACCTATTATTTCACTTTTGTCAGTTTATCATTCTGTTTGCCGCGGGTAAAAGTTGAATTTTCTAAATTAATTTTTATTGTGACTTTTTTTGGATTAAAAGAGATTTGCAGGAAGAAAAGTCTAATGGGCACAAAAAGACCAAATAGATGAAAATAGCAAAAGAGTTCTGGTTTAAAGCTAGGCACTAAATATAATTCGTATTTAAATATAGACGAATAGGAACATAAGCTTTTTGAATGCCTCAATTTTAATTAATATTTATTATTATGCATTTTCTTTCAATAGCATTAATACCTAATTTTAAAAAACTTTGATGGATGATTTGTCATTTGTCACTCATCGAGGCAAAGACTGAACCAGAATTGCAGATTGGATTTCAAAACTAGGCTAGGTTTGATCATCGCAATAACTGATAAGCCACATGTTGGGAGTATGGTATATTCATGTGACAAAATATATTCTTCAGATAAATAGTTATAAAGTTACAGAAAAATTAAAAAGTTTGCTGGTTCTCTTATTTATACCAATTAATATTATGACTCAAGAAACAAATGGCAAGTAAAAGTAACTGATAGTGTTCGCTAACTGCAAAACCCATAATGTGCTCAACAAAGTAACTTCTATACCTACCATAAACAGTCTCTGTAACAAGTGTATGAATTACCGTGTCTAGTTTTCGTGACCTTTCCTACGAAAGTGGTGAAAGCCGTGACCCTGGGAGCGGTCCTTATAACCACCGTGATTCAAATCGACTCTAGAAAATTATAATAAAGACTTTAGAAACGCTTGCACTTTGATATTAACAGTTTAAATTGAACATTTCTTGAATTTTCATACGAGATATGAACTCGAAGATTTCTATTTTATGACAGAATAAATCTTCAATTACTTCAACGTACATAAATGTACATACGTCCATGTTCCGACTGTGATACAATCTCGTACTCTTACAACAGATTCCCCGCATTCTTTTCCCACAAATCTTTCGCCGCGAAATGTGACCGATGCGTGGTGAAAGGTTACTAAACTGACGCAATGGCATACATTACATATGTGTATGACAGCTGCGGAACTAGAAAATATGAGCTTCTTCTAACTTATGGACATTATATATATGTTTTCACTAACTAATTATGATGTGTTTTAACTAAATTTAACATATGCATACCACTAAAAGGTTTTCCATCTTGTACCCTAACAACGATCAACAATTTTTGTTTTCTTTTTGACATAATCATCATTATAAGCCGATGTGCTTATTAAATCATTTAAAAATGTTTTTCGTAAAATTTTAATGTTAGCAACAATTATTATCGCGTGTGATTTGTGTTTTAATCTAACATTTTCTATTACGTAAACATCTAGATCTAGTCATTATAGATCTAGACTCGGGTGAGCTAGATGAGATAGGTATCAATTAATTAAACAAGAATTAGTTCATGAAACATAGTAGACTAATTTTTTGGGTTTAACTTATACTTATTATATTATTTTTATACAATTATATTACAATAATAACGATTCCTGATACCGCTGAAAAATTTACAAAAAACAGAGACATTTACAATTTATTTTGTTCTCAAATATAATTTCATTCTATAATATTATCTAATACTTTCGTGAGTATTCATTTATATGAAACTATTTTTTTCGGATTATACTATGTACTCTATATTAATTTATGATTAAAATGAATTGTTTATAATATACTTTTATTAAATGTATAGACTCAGACTCAGCACTAGACTCATTTAAGGAAAAGGTTAATAATACCATTAAAATATCCAAAAAATACTTCATTAATTAAAGTTTATATAATTCTTAACCATCACATTGACGTGTGTGATGTTTTCCTATAATTTCCTCGTTAATAAATCAAATTCAATGATCGTTTGTTTCGTTGTTATCCAAAGGTTAATACCGGGTGTGAGTGTGAAAGTATCTGATACCTCAGGTTACTAAGAGTTCAACTTTGATAAACATTTAATAAATCTCACTGAAAATTTCACTCAATTCATTCATTTCATAAAATAATTAGAATAGGGTTTTAAAATGTCTACTAGAATTACATTAACTTTGTCTTGAAAGTGGTTGGGTTACTTTCTTAACATGAGGTAGTTTATGGATAAAAATGGTAATTATAATTTATGAAAATAAAGGCTAAACTAAAAATTAGTATAAACTAAATTAAAATAAACCTATAATTTCACCTAATTAAAACACACGTATTGCTTCTGTTAGAGTCACTGTCTAATTTATACTGTTTTATTCAATGAAAAGAGTAAAGAGCATGTTCATTAAGGATAATTTACTGCTAATAAATAAAGGAATAATAATATACACAGGATATATATAGTCTTACTGGTCAGTGTGGTCAAACACCTGTTTGAGTAGAAACAATTAATTATAATAATATACAATATTTATAAATATTAATTTCTAGACGACTACCTATAAGATGAACATAACCCATCTTTCGAAGTTCCAATTTAAATTATACTTATTGTCATAATGAGACTAGTTTTAGTACTTAAACTTAATGACAGTAAAAACCGAATGAAGTAAGCAATTTTAAATGACTAGTTTCTTTTTATGTAATTCTTTTACCTTAATATATCTTGTATGTGTACAAAATATGTCAAGTATGTTGTGACAGACACGTATAACAAGTTTTTAGAGGAATTTTATATATTTTTTATTTCAATGATATATAAATATTTTTCTTGTAACACACCTGAAGCGGTTATATTTTAGTTCGGTAGTAACCGAAGTATTAAAAAAATATATATTGTGTGCAAGCTGCATTACCGAACGTATTAACAATTAGTCTTGAATTCCAATTATTTAAGAAATGACAATAAACGTTCCTGAACGGAATGAAGAATGCGATCGTATTTAATTCAATTATGGATACATTAGGGATTGAAAGAAAAAACATAGAAAAACATTAAATGTATATAAAATATAAGAATTACATTTATTTTGGTTAATGAACGTTAAAGAGTTTGAAATGTTTAACTAAAATTAAAGGTAAATCCAAAGCGAATTCAGGAGGCTTTATTACGAGATATTCTAGTTATTCGACCCAAATATCATTCTAGAATTATAACTATCAGCAACAGTATTTATAAATGTAATAATTTAGGTAAGTCCTAAGAGCTACACGCCTTGATCTAGATATGACTGGTCAACGAACCCACAGTCACTTTTGAACCGCTGAGCTTTATTGTGTTAGACATGGCAATACTATAAAAGATTTTATAATAATATTCCTTACCTTAAATTAAATGCTTGTCTTTAAATATATAGAAAAAAAGACGAATAGATTATATTATAAAATAGTATAAGATATATTTATTTCTTCTCTTAAGTAAGATAACATGTACCTAGAAAGAAAAAAATGAAAGAAAAAGAAATTTCGCTAATTACAAAACAAATAACAATGTTACCAACATTGACTTCTGTAAAAAATCATATAGATGCTTAACAACTTATTTAATAATAAAAAATATGAAACCTATGACATAACATTGAATTGAGACCGTAAATGGCCATACATAATATATGAGCTTCGGTTTGAAAAAACGCTACAGACATTCGCTTTGAATTTATAAACGATGGAAACTTCTAGAACGACAGTCCATTCTGTATAAGACATTGTTGCGTTGGAATTTGAACATTCTAAGTGTTAATTAATGTTTTATAATAAATCTATAAATGTCATTACTACAGCCTTTATTGCAATGGAAACTAACTTATTTATTTTTTATTACAGGTGGGATCCAAAGAGACGTATTACGCCCACAGAGGCTTCTCGTCATGAGTTTGTAATGGGGTGTGCTTTGGGCAGTACTCCGTCGGGAGTGTTGGCTCTGCCTCGTCTCCCGCCGCCCAGACCAGCTCGAACAGCTCTCCTCCACTCACAGTCAGCCGGCGACGTGGCCGCCATGTTAGGGCGAGCGTGACCTAAGGACTCCAGACTCAGAATCGGTTCCAGTGGCCTGCCATAGAAACTTCTTTTATCCAAACCTCATTTCTGTCATATCTGAACGTTTTTCGAGCCCGGAACGAATTCTGATGCAATGGCGAAAGGTACGCAGGACCAAAACTTCTGAATCATCTTAGTGTTACGATATATTTTATTTCAGATATCCATTGCTCAACCATGCGTCCCAAATTTAAGAAGCACGATATTTCATAGCTGCCTCTTACTTTGATTTTTAGTTTTCGATAGCTGCACAGTTTATCAGAGTACTGACGTGTCGTAAACTCAACCGACGTTACATTTACATAACTATATACATTTTTGAAATGGAAGTATTGGATGTGGGAACGTTGTGGGTCTATCTTCATCACGATCGGGCTATGAACCATCATCTATATTCTGTTCCGCACTACTTATCAGCGCCGGCGGAACGCTTGCGCAATAATTCTTTACATATCGAAGTGGTTATACGGTTTTGTAGTAACACTGTGATAACGTCAGGATAGTTAGGGTCTTAAGAAATGTGCCAAAAATTACGAGCCCTCTCAATAAGATGTTTCCATATCTAAAATTACAACGAATGTTTAGCTTTCAGTAATCATTGATCTTTCTCTGAAGAGGGTATTTACTTGAAAACATATTCTTTAAGTTTCAAAGCTCCTAAAATAAGATCCATTTGATATCATCAATATATCATTAGATTAGTAAAGTGAGTAACGTACAGTACAAGATACGGAATGGCCCTCATATCTTTAAAAACGAATACTGGGATGTACACTTCTTAATTTATAGACAGGACATGATTAGAATATTTTTTGTACCCTCCGTTACATCTTAGTTCTATGTCTCTTCAAACTTTTTTTTATTTTTTATTGAATAACAATCTAGTCAAAGGTTTCTGTTACGATTTCTGAATGTCTTCATATAATGTAATAGAAAAATAAGCGTTTATAATGAATGTTTATAGAATGTGATCGTGTAGGTTTTGTAATCTTAGATAGACAATACTTATCGTTAATTAAGATTTCGTGTTAAGATCTCAAAGTAGTTAAGTGTATAGTTTGCCAAAATAATGGTTCTATGTATAATTTTGATTGTATAATATTTCTTCAGAAGTAAACGCGTCTCATCTGTCTCAATTATCTCAATTCCGGTCATAATCTTTCTGCTGCTGGTTAATTTATAAGTTACTCTTTAAGCTTGATGTATGTTAAAAAATTGTGTGTTCGTAGCAAATTTTTATAATATTAATTAAATGTTTGAAAATAGTTGCCGCCATTTGTTAAGTATTAAAAAATATTGATACAACTGTCATGTCATGGGTTTAATGTTTGCTTCACAGATGTTAAAGATATTTATAATCTGTTTAATTTCTTCCGGTCAGTCTGTTCAGTAGTTTAGATGTCTGTAACCTTATTGTAAGATGTAAATAACCTAGTTTTATCGTTAGAGAATGCGTCTAGGCGAAGCCAAACGGAATCAATAACTTTGTACTGTTAGATTTCGACGAGTTTCCATTGTTGGATTATGATTTGTAAAGATTATAATATATATCGCATTATTTATGTTAATTATCAACAAAAAACTCTAATTCTCTTATGTAATTTCACAAAATCGTAATGTATTATAATTATCTGTTAGTCTCGACGTCGTAAAATCGTTCGATGTTTTATATCGTCATCATATAATGGAACCACAACATTATTGGACTGATACTGCCCGGGGTACTTTCAATTTAGTAGCATTTGACCATTTAAGAAGTAGCCCTTATGACGAAGGTATTATGGTACACCTTCAACTATGTGAAAGGAGCTATTGCCTAATACAGCTTTGTAGGAAAACATACAGGAGATTAATTTTCAATGCAAAACCTTTTTAATATCTCAATTTGGATAACCTTGTTCACTTGCTATCTCTATATGATCCGATGTAATATAACTTTCTTTCTCAACAGTCTAGATATAGCTGTGTCGTCTTTTATACTATATATTTCTAAGTCTGGTTGGCCTATTCAATGTAAAATGAGAACTATTTGAACCCCTCTACGTACCTGTGTAGTCGGTCAAGTAATCTAGCGACTTGTATTATTGTATTAGATTTAGAAGAATGGTTGTTATATTTAACATTATATTGTAAAATGATATGTTTCGTTTTAAATGTAGATAATGGGTATTAAATTCTTCCAACCGAACTTTTTGTTTGTGATTTTCTTTACGAATAATAATAAATATTTTTAATCTGTATAATTTAAACATAAAATGAATTTCAAACAAATAGCATTATACAACTGATATATAATGTAATTCATTAAAATTATATTAATTAATGAAATAAATTAAAGTTTTTTTTTTCAGGAAAAGTGGCCATTTTATATCGCACGCATTGTAAGTCGATGTACATGTTTTAGATAACGTTCTAATTGGCAAATATTTCCTGTAAAATAAACAACGCATTGAAAGATTTCCTGATAAATTATTAGTTGAATGATGAATGGACTCTTTGGTGGGAACCTTTGCTTTCGACGTAATTAATTATCTGTAATTAGTTTCTGATCAACAAACTCTGCATGTTAACATGGGTTTGCACCATGATACTTTTCGTTTCAGTTTTTTGATTTATAAATGATCTTCTAATGTCACATACGTGACATGATAATCCAAATTTGAGGTTTTACAATGACATAGCATTAATTCTTTACTATCATATATTAAACTATATAAATAGACGAAATATATGAAATTCACAGATAGCTGTACGTAATATGAATAATTTGTAAGTATTTCAGATTTTGGTCAGACATTTTTATTGTTTAAATATACTCCAAATAAATTATTCATTGACAAATCGTTCGTCACACGTCGTTCGTTACAAGTCAAATAGAAATTATAAGGTAAAAATTTATCACACGATCAGACATCGAACCTGTTACGCACGGAATATCGTGGTCCAGTGACTTACACAACTGAACTCTTGTGTTTACAATAACTTGTGAATTGTTTTCTTATAAATAAAAATAATAATAATAAAAAAAACTTAAAAATAAAATCATTGGTAATATCGGGTTTTATTAAGATTGATGTTTGAATTATGCTTTTATTCTTTAAGTTCACTACTCTTTGAATGCAATTAAAGCTATTTTAATCGATATATTTTAAATTTAAAGAAATTATCACGGACGAAATACGGCCTTGAATTGCCTCATTCGATGGCGAATTACCGAAGAATCGATTAGACTGAGCTAAATGTACAGCAGTATTGTGGTATTACAGAAATTTAATATTAAAAAGCATCGGGAATTGCCAAATTGTTACAAAAGTATATACAATTGTCATAAACTGTGCAAAGTTGACTTAATGTTGCCAGTATCTGATAAAATATATTGCAAACAAATTTTTAACAGTTATGTATTCGTTTTGAAATGTTTTGTAAGGAAATATAGATAATTTTGTTAGCTTTATGAATAAAGAAATAAATTTTTGTTACGTCAATACAACTGGGTCCTATTCTCGTCATCTCGTCTTACTAAAAATGAACAGGTTAAAACAACGTGTTAATTTTATCACAATATATTAAAAGATCTAGATTTAGTTTGCTTTAATTTAAAAAACATTAATTTATTCCGACCGCTAATCTATTTGTCGTAACGAATTTAACAATTATAATTTAGCGATGTTTTTCAAACATAAAAAGCGAGTCTGTACAAACAGATCATTGAGGCGTGACGTTCATTTAAGACAACAATTGCGTTTACTTTTTACGGAAAACTTAATTTATTATTAATCTTTCTTTTGATTTGCACACTTTTTATTATTAATAGTGATAATTTGTGTGGTATAGAACGACTCATACTTTTAATAATGACAACACGTTTATACCGTAATTGTTTTATTTGGATAGTGTTACAAATGTTTTGTGTTGGATTCAATTAAGTATAATAGACAAAAGTCTAGTTTTTACGTAATCGTAACAAATTATATAAATATCTGACCTTAATAAAATCAAGTGGCGCCTTTAGTGTGATGTAGGCGACCGTGTTTTTTTTATTTTAGGGTATTTTATTCGCTTAAGTTGTAACTCATCATTGATTTCGGCGTTTTTTTTCTAATTTTCAAGCGTTTTAAAAATCGTTCAATTTAAAACGATGATATGTAACTAACTAGATAAACACATATTTACAATAACGAGTATGGAGCATGAGAACCAATTACTCTCGTATCCGACTATCAAATGAATGGCCAGAAGTTACCAACAGTTTCGTTACATAAAATCTCATTGCAATTGTCAAATTATGCAAGGATGCATCGCTCGCTAACAAATACATATTGTACTTTCACTGTTTAGAGTGTTATTGGATTTTGAAATTATTTAAGTTTATTATTATGTAAGTGATCATAACAGATACAATGCTGCGGCCTTGACCAATAAAATAATCTGAAGAGTTTAGAATGTCGTTCGTGTGCATCTCTCGAAGACAAGGCAAAGTCATAATTCTTTTATGATTTAAATGCATCGTATTAGAGACTAATGAGATCTGAGATTTTTGCGAGTCATTTAAACGAAACTAATATTTTGAGGACATACAGAGGATTTGTCTCTATATACGTAATATAGAGACGAAACCTCTTAGCATTCAGTGGATTCACCGTGCGGGTGCCGGGTCCATCGCGTTGCAGGGAGAGGAGCTTCAAAAGTGCCTGGGACTTGCGACCCAGGTGTAGGTTTAAGGAGCCCCTATCTTACGAAATTATGCGTAATGTTAACGTACTTAATATCTTTATCTATCGATTTAAACAGAAAATATAGAAATTAATAGTCATGATTAATTCATTAACATAATAACATATTTTGATTGTAATGATACAGATTGTAACATATGTTATATCTCATATAACTCATCATAATCATCGGTTTAATTTCATAGTTACATAACGAATCTATAGATGGCTTATGTCTCGTGACGAAACTCATCATATCATAATTCGTAAGCAATCACACAAAATTTTTGTTCTAATGGATTTGATAGATTACATATACATTATGTCTTAAAATGAAATATGAAAGACGACTATGGTTCACTTCAATATTATGAAATTAATCTGACATTTAGGTTACGGAATTTTTAAAATAAATATTGCGTTGTGATTGATTTTATTTCGGAAACAAATGTGACCTTTGTAAGGTGAATACAAAGTTCACTTATCACTTTATAATGATTTATTAAGGAGAAATGCCAGCACTTCGAATATAATGAACTTCGGCTCACAGTTGGTGTTTCTAATTATAAAATAACATATTCTTAGACTTTTTTATTGGAAAATCTTATTTTCTTTACTATAATGTAGATCGAACATTGCTTTCCAATTAAATTGTTACAAAATAACTTAAATTCTTTTACACTCTTTCAACGTACCAACCTTTATTGTCAGAGGACTTAGAACAAGAAAAATCACGAAAATTTGCATCAGGTAAGGTCTAGCCTGAAACAACGCTAGTGCCCTAATCAGTGAAGCCTTGCTCCATCTTTCTAAGACGTTAGACGAACAAAAGGTAGTGTCCACGTAACAATCCAAACTGTTCGTTAATAAGTAGTAGTACTTAAAGCTATTATGAAATGTGGCTTAAAAAAACATCAATCATTTAATCAATAGCCAACAAACGACTACAACTTCCAACAGTAACAAGCGTAAGTATCTGCTCAGATTTCAACATTAACACCTTATTGAGTTCTATTCTTTATAATTTGTATTTTTATTGCAATATAACCATATTTCAAGGCATTTATGACACCGTTACCATTATAACGACCGTTTAAAACACTAGTTTCGTCCACGGTGTAAGAGTTTCCTCGGTGACATAACTGACCTCATGTTTGATAATTCACTAATGATCTCGCTCAAAGAACACCGACTACTCGGCTTGGGATCTTTTCATTATAGTTTATGTAACTTTAGGATTTAAATGTTCAAAAAATTTGACTTGCAAGGTATGCTATTGTATTGTACACTTTTGTATCGTGTAACTTCGTTTGTTACAAATATAACTGTTTTTCAAACGTTACGTCGGAAAGATTTTTGGTCTTAAAAATGTGCAAATTTTGATATCAATGGCGCCTTTCATTTGATTTCAGAAAGTCACACAGAACCTCTTAACCTCTCAGTATTCAACGGATTCACCGTGAGGGTACCTGGTCCATCGCGTTGCAGGGAGAGGAGTGCAACAGTGCATGGGACTTGCGACCCAGGTGTAGGTTTAAGGGATCCCTATTTAACGCGCGTCAAAAGTTCACCTCCAGCGTCCAAGCTCCTCTCTCTACTTAACCAATTAGACACATACAGTTATGGAAAATGTAGTATTCATGTCCGTATATATGTTTATAATAAGAGTAGTACAACTAGTAACAACTAATAAAAACTCATCGTTTCAGTCCCAACACGAACCGCATCATGTTATGCATGTCGCGAGTCAGAAGTGAAACCGTGTCGTACTAATTACAAACGTCTCCGGAATCATTTGTCTCATTGTTCAAATAACAATTTGCGAATCACTGAAACTATGAACGTATAACTTCAAATAACTTTTCTGTAGAACTACACTCAGCTGGTGAATATAAGATAATAAATAAAACAAAAACACGCAAACTTTCTTTATCCTTTAGTATGCTAATATAAATGGTTTATTTCTTAAAATTTAACTAGCCAAATACGAAGTAGAAAGACTTTTCTGTTAGAAAAAGTAAGTTGTTCTCTTTGTCATTAAATGGACTAGTAGATTTTGTTAAATAGACTTGTAAGTTTTCTTCATATAAATTTAATTAAACATAAATAATAGTTTGTTTTGAGTGATTGAAACCAAATGTTACTTACGTCAATGTACATAGAATCTGTTTGCATAAATCATGTGTTAGGTATATGTAATGATTTATAAATGCAAAACTAACAAATATTCTGAATTAAGAATTCCTTATATTTATCTATTATATATAATCGGTATTAATATCGTAAATTGATACAAAAACTATAAAAATAGTAATAAAAAAGTAATCTGAAATGAGGACAGTTTTATTTGAGTAAATTGCGGAATTAATTCGTTAATAAACACCAAGTTACAGCCATTGTGTGATTGAGAAAGATCAATTATTGATAGTTTGCAGTAAATATCTAACAATACTTACAAATGACAAAATAGTCGCGGCTCAGCTTTCTTTACCAATACCTAATCTAGATTTATTCAATAGAAATTGTCATTTAAATTAATTTTTGCGTAAAAATTCATTGCGATAACTGTTTGTGACAAGTCCCTAGGCGTGATTATAGAACTTATTACTTGATTTGCGAACTTTTTTTTTTAGAATTATATCCCAATGGCTTAGGAATTAAAATAAGACCCATTTTTTGTTCCTATTCTTGTTAGGTAAGATAAACAATTGCTAAGTAAGATTTTTAATAGAGAATTTGTGTTCAAAAATTTTATACGTAAGTTGTGTTTTTTTAATATGTTGATATTAAACTATTTCTGTACCAACATTGCCTGATTTATAAGTAAGGTTTATTCTAAATTACAAACTTTATTACAAATATAAGATCATTTGGTTTGATTAATGTGTGTAGACACTAATATATCCATAATATTATATTATAGTGTAAAGGTTTGACTAGTCGCTAGTGTTGCTATTTACAAAGTAAACGGAATGATATATTCATTTAAAACGAACAAATCTTTTGAGTAGTCATATTAAAAAAATAATACAGATTAAACAATACAAATTTTAAAAAAGAACATTCACGTTATTCTCAAATTTTTTTAATTTAAATATCAGTACGACTTCACTAAAATATCTAAGCTTCAATAGATCCAAGAGATATAGATGTAAATAAGAGAAAAGGGTACGGAAATTAGTCGAGCACAGATCCATAGCAACTTAATGAGGTCTGAAAAAATATTTTTAATATATACAATAAACCTCTTTGGTAATAAACCAGGGTCTATAGAAGCCGTCATTTTTAAATTATAATGTGATGTACTTATACTTATTGTGGTCTGTACTTGGACCATTGTTCACTATGAGATATTTCATCCGTTAAATGATCTCAGATTTCCATTAATTGCGACCATCTTGCACAAGGGCTTTGCGAAAATGAATCCGGCACTCGCCACGGTACGGTTCCTTGTGTGAGTCAACTTTGACCTGTACTAGTTTACGATTACATCTTCCTTATTAGATATAATTTATAAATATCTACCTTAAATTATACATATAATATACTAGTAAAGAATTTTCGTTGATACCAACGAAATTGTCCAAGTATTTATATGATATTATTATTTTTTAGAGTATTTTATCAAAACGAAATACATATATTATACCTAGAGAGTTGGTATGAAATGTAAAAGAATTATAAATAATTTAGACTTACATTGTGAAAAACAGAGGACTTTAAGATTTGTACTTAAATAAATAAAAAAACAAATTTTAGCTCGATAACAATATTTTCGGTAAGTTGCATTGTATCATGCGACGTAATTTCATCAGTAAGTATCATTGTTTTACGCAATCCCGTTAACACCATACAATAAAGTTATTTTAAAACAATTCTCGTTAAACGGTCCTTTCGAAACGAGTAGGGGAGTCCGGAGTAGGGGTGGTAAAACGAAGCGCCTTTCACTGCCGATAGTACTGCCGCCGAGTCAGTCGCCGGGTACAGCCATAGACGCTACTGGGAAAAGTTTCAAATAAATAAAAAAAACAATTTTCCCGCTAAAAGTTATAAGTTGTATATAGAATTTGGTGTTTTTTTTAAATTGGGATTCAGTGAGCAGGACTGTGTTGTACAGTGTGTGATGGTACTCAGCCGCTCTACCCTTTGAGAGTGCAGCATGAGGGGTAGCGTTTATCAACTTTTGCTTTTGGCGCCTCTGGTCGCCGCCATTACCGGACCGAGGGTGAGTTTGACAGATAATATTAAATATTTTTTTAAAAAGTATGAGTATGATTTAAAGCTGGAATTATCACTAAGAATGCACTTATAAACTTTTAAGTTTTTACATAATTATAGGTATAGTTATTTTATAAAAATACAGGCAGACTAGAAATATTTTTTCATAATTTTATCATTTGCAGTCTGAAAAGACAACAAACCTTATACAAAAATAATATATTTTTTTTGGCCTATTTTTTTATAAAATTAATTTATTTATATTACATAATAATAGATAGTGTGTCAAATAATTTGATAACGAATATAGACATTCACATTTTGTGGACGAAAAAGTGCAAGTGACGATTAACCTTTCACTTATGACACTAACACATAATAAACGCTTTCTTAGTATGTTTTAGGTATAACAGATTATTACATTTTTTTTTAATCTACGTATTTATCCAATATATTTAAGCTTTATGATGTAAGTTTCATAAATACCTAAAATAATTCTTAAGAGATTTGCAATTGTTTTAATTCAATGAAATAAAATTAAAAACTATTAAAAATCACAGGTTTTTTAATTAATAAGAAGTAATCATTTTTATTTTTTATCTGTGATCATAATATCAAAGACCGCGCTGTCTTTTTATATCTTAATATTTTTATAGTCAGTGACTACGCGCTCAAGCATATGCATATAAAATTCACACTGAATGGATCAAGAAAGTCGCATGTTTACATATCACGGTCCGAGTGTTCGAGAAGAAATCACTTTAACGTTTTTTACGTAATAAAACACTTTTTTAATAAGAGAAACAATGACCAGTTCTAATTATAGTAAAAACGATTTAAAATTTTGAATAAAATACGTTTTTAATGGGAGTTAATCACAGAGTATTAATAATTGGTCGTTTAAAATGTAGAGTAACAAATTACAAGAATAATGAATTAAGATGCATTAAGTCGAACAATTCTTTTATATATGTACTTAATGGACGTTTGAAATAGGATTTTTTTTTATAGAAAATATTTTTTCATAAGGTTAACGTTATTAAAATCATCGTTATTTTAGTTTTTCTCGAACTGTTACGGCCTTGAACTGTACTGTACAGAAAAATTATCTCATTATTTGCTGGTCTAGAACACTAGATTAATCTTCACCTCAGTAATAGTCTTGAGACTCACAGAAGTTATTGTTGCCGAAATCTAAAGTTTTGATAATATTTCTCGTGTTAAAGATTTTACAAAATGATGAATGATACATACGTAAAATGAAATTGTCAGATTTTATACATTAATTAGTAAATAAATTAATTATTAATTGAAGATAGGTATCTCTGGTATCAGCGTAAGTAACAAGTTCAGTTAATTGGTATATATTGTTGACTCAGGTCCCTTCTATATATAATATAAAAGTGAAACATATTTCATTAGTAATATTTTTTATATAACACTAACATAATATAATAATAAATTAAAGAAACAGTTGACATTGAGCGGGTACATTGTATGAGTCGTGCGGACTCTCACGCGATGTTTACTTTCACTATATAACCATATAAGTTATTTCACAACATATTATAAATATCAAAAAAATATATCATAAAAACATGTACGGGTTTCGTATGTTTGTTTCTGCAAAGAAATTGTACGTAATTGTTATTAGTTACAATGTTTTGGATCGTAATTGAGACGTACTTAGGGCGAGGCAGATAAAAGAAATTCTTTGTTCTATAAAGGTTATGAATATAAGTTTGTTAGAAGGAACAAGTAACTCCAAAGTAATTGGAATCCAATAAAATGTCTAAAACGTTACGGTCTCGATAGTTGACGCAACAGTCGTGGCGACGGATCCTGTCCTGGCTTCCTTATTTACGTAACTGTGGTTACAAGATGTAATACTAGATCTAGATGTATTAGATAAATAAAACTGATTATTATAATCTGTTAGCCGCGTTCACAAAAACTATAAAACAAAAAAGACTTATGTAAATTGTATGGTAATAGAAAACCTCAGTTTTTTTCAATATCCATTGAAATCTTTAAGTTGTTACAGATTGTCGTATGTGTAATAAAAAATTATAACATTGGCTTGTGTGGACTTGTCCTAAAAAGGACAATTCATTTGTCTTGTTTCGTATAAACAAGGTGTAATAAATATAATCTGATCGCTTTCTTATTCAATATCATTGGAGATGTCACTTTTAACATTGTTATATTATTAGATTATGTTGGAATTAATTGCATTATTGCACCCAAATGCGTGGCTGATAGGTTTGGTAAATCAATACAATTATTCACATTTTTAATCCATATTTTTAATCGATCTTGGATTCTACATTGATTCATTCTACATACATTTGATTACAACTAAGTTTGTAAAAAAAACGTGACCTAAAACAATCTTTAGTACGAGAAAATAGTTAAAACTAATGAATAAGAAATGTTCATTGTTTTTAGTGGACAATCCGTAAAATAAATATTTCAATTATTCCGCATGATTTTTGAGAATGTGATTTATTATGACCTACTTTACCTTAAACAGATATGAATTGTATCTCGGACACAGTAGATTCAAAGAATATTTATCACTAAAGAAATGTTGCTCCTTTAGACATTCTTCACAGAAATTAATATTCTCACAACTCACAAAAGTTTAAAACACATTTAATATTGTAAAGTTTAATAAATACGAGTATCGTTTACAAAAAAAAAGTTAAATAGATCGTAATAATACACGATACGAACGATTAGCTTCATTAATAAACTATACTTTACACGTTACTTCATGTCTCCAAATCAATAATCAGTTTGTGTGTTCCATATACTGCCCCACGATCTTAGGTCACCATTCATATAGAAAAGCGTAGGAAGCATTGAGACTTTCAAGCGAGGACGTAACTATATTTAAAATTCCTTTCTTCAGAATACTTAAATGTAACTAATCATGCAAACGAAAACGTTTTGTTGTTTCTTTGTATTCTACATTTTATTCTATATAAAATTACACCATATAAGAATAAGAAGATACTTTAGTATTTAAACATCATTAAATTAGTATAATTAATATAATTCATCATTAAATTAGTATAATAAATACATCATTAAACAAGATATCTTGGTATTTTTACATAATTGAAATATTTGGGGTTCTTTAAGATTATAATTGTTTTCTAAGTAACAGAATGCAGTAATATATGAAAACTTAGCACACTGTATTGATTCCGACATATTGTGTATTAAAAACATTTATTTTATTGAAACAAGCTATAGGAGCGAAGCCTTTTAAACTGAATCATTAATTGGGTGCAGCAGTGACGACCTAATCTGTATACATTTAGCGTAAACCATAATGAATGAGAAAGCAAAACTTTCGACGTTTTCTGGAAAACTAGCCGTTTTGATTCGACACACGTTTAAACAAGTCATCATTGTTTTACAACTATTAGAAAACCCACACTAAGATTCATCGCCGAAGATGTGTTAGATTATTCCTACTAATCTTTGATAAGATCAAATCGTTACTTATAATGATTTAGTATTAAAGCATCCGGTAGTCCCAAATATATTTAATGAATATTACGCAACAGTAAATACAAAACATACAGCCACAAATCACAGGTCACTCACTAATGGACTTTGATTTGTAACTTAACGGTAAGATCCGTATACAATCATAAATAACTTTTGAATCTCCGTGACGCAATGTGACCTTTAAAAATTTTCTAACGAAACGGAAAGCTGCGCTGTTAATGTGAAAGTGAATCCACTTTAGACAATTTGGCGACGTGTTGTGTTACGCGACTCGTCCTGTGTGTTACCGAACGCTGTTAAACTTAGAATGGTGCTAATTATGTAATGTAGTTCCTTTTAAAAATATTTATGGTAAAGGCAAGTCTGGTCATTGCTCTATTAAGGTAAATTGCTTCTTTTTATAGGTTTACTTTAGTTAAATTATTGAAATTTCAAACAAGATATTTTCATACAAAAACTGGTCATTTCAAAACAGTTTCATGCTTAATTGTCTTTAATTATTAAAGAATAATAAGAGTCGATATTACGAACGTGTCCGATCTCATCTCCGCTCGCGTCGCCTGAAGAATGCGCTTTCGTGTTAGTGATGCGTCACGGATAGAACATTATTTGTAATTTGTGGGAAAATTATAGCTATCTTAAAGAATTTAAACCGGTAGCAGTGACAGAAAGTCCGGTGAATAGGAAACAATTTAATTGGCATTTATATATGTAGGCGTTACGAATTTTGTTTTATATCAGATTTATGTGGGTTTAATAAATGTTGTTTTATCTTATTTCAGATAGAAAATGACTTCGATAGAAGCAGACAGCCGCCTCTTGGACATACAGGCTTGAACGATCAGCAGAGATTCGGGGTTTCAGCTCAGATACAGAATTTCCAGCAGCAATCTAATTTGTTGAGCAGTCCATCTCCACCACTTCAATTTTCTCATCCTATATTCCAGCAACAACCCTACGTCCCTCAATTTAATAATTTACTACCAGCTCAAAACATTCCTACCAGCCTACCAGTACAAAATAGTAACGGTTTTCAATTTGCCCCATCAGTAAATATACCTAACAATGGCCAACTTAATGGTTTTCAACAACCCAACATAGGACAGATACAACAAAATCGTCAAAATATCCAACAACCAATTCCAACTTTGGCAGCATTTCAAAATAATGGTTTGCCCCTAACAAGTTCTCAACAACCTTTTCACCAAAACCCAACAATTCATAGTTCAATAGACCTCAGTCAGCAGCGACCCAGTCAAGCTTCTTTCTTACCAAATCTAAATTCTGGACAAAACCAGCAGTCATTTAATTCGCCAAATCCTATTACAATTCAAGCTGCTCCAAATTTGTCACCTCAGAATGTAAATAACGCACAAATTCCATTCCAATCTGCAATAAACCAAGGTCCGATATACAATAACGGACAAACATTACAACTGCAAGAATATTACGAACAACAATCCAAAGAAAACCTAGAAAAGCTTAAAGAACTTCAAGAAAGGCAAAGGATCATTCAAAAACACCAAGAATTTGTTCAGAAACAACAGCAGAAGCAGCAAGAAAAAGTGGAAAAACTACACGAAGAATTTATAAGTAAACAAGCAACGAAAACTATACCAACTTATACAACGACCGAAAATTACGAAGACTATTACAAGCGCAACCAAGAAAGACGCAGACCTTTACTGCCACATGAAACTGACCTGTTTAGGAAAGCTGTGGAGCAATACGAAAAGGAACATCCAACAACAACACAAAGCACGACAACAACATCAACGACAACGACAACAACAACAACAAGACCGCCGACGAGATACAGAACTCGAACACCAGGCAGAACCCGAGGCCCTCCTCAAGATAGAAATAAGCAAAAACTATACAATGAGATCAAAAATCTACTAGAAGAGAGTGATACCAAAGGTTTTGATGACAATTTAAGAGCTAAAAGTGTAGCATTACTCCAGAAACCTGATATTTTGAAGCAATTGAAAGTAGCACTAGCTGAAAATCCAGAAGATTTTAACGAGAAAAATTTTTCATCTCGAGAAATTTCTTTGAATGGTCAGAAATTTGAAGTCATTAGAACTACAAATCCAAACCTCATCCCTAAAGGAGCTATAGCGGCTGATAATCCCGACTTAGGCAAATTTATAACATCGACTAAAGAACCACAGAAAGAAAGTCATATATCTTTTGACGACCTTACAAAGGATGTTTTACCTCCGGGAGCCAATTTTGAGTTGATTAAGCAGGCTGACAATGGCAAATTAGAAGAGGTACCAAACATACCCAATTCGCTGCAAAATAAAAAGAAAGTTACATTTGTCTTCCTAGAAGAACAAGATGATGGTTCATATAAAGTAAAAGGTGTTAAAGCCAATGGACAGCAAACCGAGGAAGGTCCTGAAGTAGAGAATATTTTAAACAAAATAAAGAGAGGCGAAATACAATTGCCAGGACCGACTAAAATATCAAACGCCGGATTTAGTTCTACCACCACAGCACCGATTACACAGTCGACTGATTATATAGCAGAGTCATCACACCCTCCCTCGACTTACACAAGCTTCGTTACGACATCAAACTACGGAAACTCTGGCCACACCATCCCCGAACAAACAACGTCCGCACCAACTTATAGGAGTTCTCTTGCATCTGTAACGAGATCTACGCCGAGTTATTCACAAACGCATCCTCCGACTACTCGTGGAACTACCACCGAGCGTTATGTTATCAAATCGTCAACTCCTAATTACATAATAAACAGGAGTAGTCACATTCATTCGTCCAGACATTCGTTCCCGAGTACAACTAGTAAAAATACGACCCCGGTCCATAGAACAACACCCCAAGATGTAGTCGTCATAGGATCAAGCGCTGCGACTACGGTATCTCCGAATTTTGAAGAATCTACCGTCAATTTGAGTTACAGAAAAGATGGCACCCCTAGTCTCATTGATATTTTAAAAGAAAATGGATTATTTGCTACCGCCAAATATTTAAAACAGTCAGGACTGGATGCAATTTTAAATGAAACAGGACCATACACTATCTTCGCGCCAACTGATAAGGCGTTTAGAACACTATTGGTCCAACTCGGTGGCCCTGACAGAGCCGAAGAGAAATTCCGTGATAATCCTCGACTACTGAGTGGGGTAAACATGCAATTATTTTATTATTCTTATTTTATCTACATTATAAACAAACGTATTAATGAATCTTACTAATTCCAGCTTCTACTCCATCACGTAATTCCTGGTGCATTCGACATCGGGTCTTTACAAGACGAGATGACGGGCGTGTCTCTGGCTGGCACACAGTTGCGAGTGAACCAGTACGACATGCATGATGTAGAATGGAACGAGGTGCGAGTGACTACCATCAACGGTGCCAGAATACTCGAAGATAAAAAGGATATACATATTCCACAGGTATAAGAAAATAAAGTATTTATTAAAATTTTAATATTTCAGAAATATCTTTAGCTCGCGTTTTGCTCGTTATTGCTAATATACTAATATTTCCACAGGGGATAGCACATGCGGTAGATCGTGTAATGTTTCCGTTACCTGTGGGGGACCTCGTCCAAACGCTGCAGGCCGACCGTGATCGACGATTCACTACATTCCTTAAGGCGATACAAGCGAGCGGGTTCGCGGATACGTTAGCAGGTAGGACTTGAGGAAACGAAGGTCATTTTAACATTTTTAGAGATATTGAATATCAATGGAATAATTTAATCCACAGAGAGTAAGACGTATACAGTATTCGCTCCAACGGACGCTGCTTTTGCCCGCCTCCCTGCAGCTGAACTCTCCAAGTACTCTGAACGAGCTGGTGCTCGAGCACTAGTGGCGCGCCACGTGCTGCCCGGCACGCTGTACAGCGCGGGAATGAGATACTATCAATTGAGGAACTCTATGGAAGACGCTAAACCTCTCACTTTGCAAAAGAGTTCAGGTCAGTCAATGTCTAATATTTTATGAAATTTCAGAATGTAAGGAAAATCAGAAACAATACTATTCCTAAGTAGTTAAGACCTATAAGATCAAAATATATGTATATTGTCATAATAACATGTATGTATATGGACAATACTTTGTAGATAATCGCTATAATAATATAATAACTTATTTGCAGGTCGCATCAAAGTGAATAACGCTCAAGTAATAACCCACAATATCCCCGCAACCAACGGAGTCATACACGCCGTAGACACGCTGCTATAAGTTAAGACCCGCCGCCAAAATTAGACTAATGTCAATGACCTACACGTGGAGGGCCTAACTGAAAAACAACCTGCCATTATATACAGTTAGCTCCTCAAACGAAATGAAAATTTCTTACGAGAAATCCCATTCAATTGGATGCTTAACTTTATCCCCGATTTGTGTAGCCAATATATATAATTGAATTAATATTAAGACTGTAAATATAATATAGAGTACGAGTTAATTTATGCAGTTAACGTTTTTTGTAAATAAATTTTTAACATTAAATGTGTTTCAATAAAAAAACAACATAAAATCAATCACCTATATTTAATACGCACACAAACACACAGACACAAATTTAAGAATAATACTAGGATTACGAGGAAGATGAGCCTGGTTTATAAAAGAGGAATGAGTTTGAATAGAATACAAAATTTAAGAAAATAATATGTAAAAGATTATACAGAATTTTTGTTTTGGAACATTAGTGAAGGCATTTTTTATCAGGATGTAAGATTTCTGGCTCGTATTCTTTATTACTCTGTTGTGTCAAACAACCCTCAAATAACATAAGTACAATAAAATTGCGACGTCTAAGGCACAAGTATTAAAGAATCAATTCATTCAAACTAACTAACATCGTGAGATTAACTTGAATAGAACTGTTATCCTAACGCCTACGTTAGCTGGGGTAGTTCAGTTTGGCCAACATCATCTTCAACTTGGCTATTTCTTCGTCTTTGGCCGCTAATTCTTCTTTCAGACACCTTATAGTGTCGTCTTTATTCTCAGACAATTGCTTTAGTTCTTCCAGCAGCTGGCTGGTGTCCAGACGTCTGCTTGGCCTTCTCTGAACCAGCTTCCCAATAATATGAGTTATTTTAGGATAGTTGGCAGTGAGGTGAGCTGGGATTTGACCTTTCCTGAGGTCATTTATAGTCTTCACGCGTTCCATGTCGGTGCTGAATGGCTCCACCATCTCCAGGAGTATAATTCCCAGAGAATACATGTCACTCTGTAAAAAAGGAAATGGACATTATTTATTTATACATATTTAAAGATTTCAGTCCTAAACACAAATGATGTATGAGATTTTACAAAGAAATAAGTAAAGAAACTTTAATAAAGTCATAATTAGTTGACCCTATTTATTATCGGATAATTTCCGTTCAATAGTAATAATAAAATCGACCTATGCCAGTGCGTTGCTATACATATTATATGTTACGATAGTACTTATGGTATTGACGTTCAAAGTGATAAAATGACGATCGCCATAGAGATACAGCAACGCTTTTCTAGTAAAAAACGAAAGATTAACTAACCTTAGGATTGCATTGTCCTTCCAATTGTTCTGGGGCTGCATAAAGATGCGTGCCGAGCGCTAGTCCACTGTGAGACTGCTGCAACGGGCAGGCCAGCCCGAAGTCACCCAATTGTACCAAAGGTCCACTTTCACTGGGAGCCACAAAAACATTGCTGGGCTTCACGTCGTGGTGGATGACCCCCCTCGAGTGTATATAATGCAGACCTTTCACCAGTTGCGTAAACATGTCCACGAGAATATCATAACGGGTAGAGGTTAGAGGATAGTTATTATCGGTTTCGAAGTTAGCTGAATCATTTGAATAGCTGTGGTGAATGGTTAGGTCATCTGAGTTTTTGCGTGATAATGTCATGTGATTGTTCCTATCGTCCAGCCACTGCTTCAACGTCTGCTGACAATAAGTCATCTGTATATATAGCGTGGCCCATTTCAAGTTGACTCTAGAACAGTTCTCGTATTCCTTGCTAGATAATAGCTTGCAGATTGCGTTGTTGTCAGAAAAATTTGGTTCATCCTCGCTGTCGGTCTCTATTTCATCGGAAGTGCCGGATTTTTCAAAACTGTTTGAATTTTTAAAAGATATCACAAAGTCCGACTGGCTGCGATCTTTAGTGAGGTCTTTGGAGTTATAGGTTTTGAATGATTTCATAACATTCGGATAAACTGAAGAAAACTGACTGGAGCCTAAAGATAAACTGTCATCGTCTGTTTCCATTTTACAATTGCGTTTCTTTTTGACGGTCGACTCTATCATCGGTTCCAGCCACGCAGCTTTATAGTTCACTATATTAGGATGATTTAAACTGGCTATAGTTTTAACTTCAGCTAGATGTGTCATTATAGAATTGACATCCGAGGATTTAATATAAACTTTCTTAACAGCGTATTCTACTCCGTCCAATCTGTGTCGAGCTTTGAACACGCTACCGAAACCACCGCCAGCTATGAAGAATAGTTCCTCAAACTCTTTGTGGTAACGAGACCATTCTAAGCCTGACCTATTAATGGGCCATGTCACTGGCAGGGTTATGGGAATCTCGGAGCCACTGGCAACCGTCACCAGTTGATACAGAGCTCTCTGATACTGGCTCCTCATGACCTCGAACTCTCCCATGGAATAGGAATCGTCAATAAGATTCATGCTGTGTAACTTCTCACAGATTGTGTTGTACAACGTGTTGGCTCTGGAGACATCTTTCTCCAGGAGGGAACATAATTGCTTCACCAGAGATTGAACCAGTAAGCTGATTGGTGTTGTAGCTGTTGAGTTTATGACCTCGATTTGATTGATGCTTTGTTGCAAGACTGATTCGTGCTGACCGTTTCGGGCTATGCCTGTAAAAAATAACTCAAGTTTAGTTGTTATTTGATACCTCTTATTTGTTTACATTTGATTGACTTGAATTGTATATAAAAATAATATGAATATATCATCACTTCACTTACACATCATCAGATATATAATGAATTTTATTTGTTATATAAAAACGGAATTAAATTCTTGTTTTTACAACAGACAGCGAAATTATTATTAAATAGTTATTTGGCACTTAAATTAATATAAATATTTATAACAATTATTATTCCAACATTAATAAGCACCACACAATTATATTTGTCTGACTGATATGTGAAAATTAATTAAGGGACATGACTATAGAAAATTCTACAAATTGTGGTCACAGTGGTTTTATAGTTTGTTTTGACTGATAAATACTTATCGCATATATTATTAGAAAACCCTGTAGCAAAAGTTTGTAAGTATGTAAAAATACTTTCTTACTAAACAAAAATAGTTGAAATTGTAAATGGTAGGCTATATGTTGCATATTCATAATTTTATATGATACATTGTGCCAAAAACCCAATTAATGTAAAGTAAAAATTTTGAATATATGGTCTAAACGATTATTATATTTAAATAAAATTAAACATTATTGAAAAATAAAGAAAGTGGACGAATTATTGAAAATATTAATTAATATACTTTCTATTTCCAATTAGAATGGAGATGACTTTTTAACGTTCAATGCATATACAACATAGTAATATGTAAATTATATTAGTATAAAATCCATTTTAATAATCAAGGAAAATATTCTATTTCTATACCTCATTACATTATAGTTAACTCGACACTATATGATGCAAAAATAGCGCTATTGTATATTTACCTGATGCCAACAAAGAATCAAAGAGTAAACATCCACTATACATAAAAAATTTAAAACACACAACTAACTGCACTGTATTTTATTTCTTTAGTAAACAGAATTACTTATGCAAAGTTAATATTGCATCATGGTGTGACTCAGACGAGATTACAGATATATAAATGTACATAATGTATAAAAATGTAATATATATATGATGTAGTATATGGTTTCATACATATGAACTGTAGTGTAAGTGTACACATTTATAAAATCAAGTTTAAAAATCCTTTTTATTCACCAAAAATTTTATAAGATAAACTTTTATGTATTAGTAATTAGATTATCACAAAAAGATTGAAGTTCAAGAAATTAAACAATGTTATATGTTTCATTTTCTGACCAGAAATTTTGAATCAAATAAAATCAATGTCTTTACTTATTTTAAATAATAATCTAAGCACATTTTCTGTGCAGAATTCCCTAAAAATAGAATCCCTTTTTAGTCATACATTCTTCTGTTAAACTATCAATTGAATATAATTTGTTATTAATGTATGTTTTTAATAGTCGTATTATGTTGAAATAAACAATAAAAATATCTTAAATGTTTTAAAAATCTGTTGTTTAAAAAAAAGTCAAAGATATCGACAGTACCTAAGATAATTGAGTTAAACATATTCATGTAAGTAAAACTAAAAGTATTTCTCCAAGGTCAGTTGTGTTTATATAAACATTGCGAGGGGATTTATCTGAATTTACCTTAGAAAGGGGAGGAAAGACACGGATTTTTTTTATTTAATGAAAAAATAGGGAAAACTATATTTTGCTTATTATTCTGATAAAAGGAGGAGGGAGAGAAGTTTTCTTTTTCTTTTTTTGCCAGTAGTAACAATATAATCAACTAAAGCAACACATACTTTACATTGGGAAAATATTCCACAATTCCAATGGGAATAAAACAGTAGCTTATAAAAAAACATATTACAGAACCACATGGTTCTGAATTTAAATTTATATGTATCAACTTATACAGGGTGACTGGTGAATTACTATCGATACTTGAGGACGTGATATTTGACGATCATATATGACAAAATAAAAATTAATATAACATAAATATTAATAAACTTCTAAGTAAAGTTAACCAAAAGTTATGTAATTAATTACGTGTGAACACCCTACATATTAGGTATACACACACACACACACACAGACACACGCGTGTGGCGGCGTGGTGTTGTATCAGCACGCCGCCGCACGCGTCCACACTTGGAACGTGTCTACACTTTATTTATTTATACGGAAATTTTGTCAAAAATTAAGTACCTATTTTTTTACATAATTCGAATGAGAATCATGTACCGAGTATTCTCCTTAAATATTGATAGTAATTCACCAGTCACCCTGTATATTAAAATTATATCCAAAAATTTAATTTATAAAAACCACTGACTGTGAGTGTGATTTCCGCATATTATTTTATTTCCTTTTATCAATATACTTCACTTCAACAATTGAACAGCCTCTTCACACGCAAAAGTAAGATTGTTTATCTATTATTCCTTCATAGTGAAAGTACTCAACTAAATATAAAGTAAAATTCTCCTGATAACACCAATAAGTATAAAGGTAGATGATGCAATAAAGGCTTCTGAATAATAAAGAATAAATAAAAATATTGCTTTTGAAACATGTTCTTAAACCAAAATAATTAAATAAAAAATATTTCATTCAAATATTTTATAATTCATATTTCATATAGGTATATATAACTATAAATTTTATTGCTGCTTTTAATCTATACTAATATTATAAAGCTGAAGAGTTTGTTTGTTTGAAAGCGCTAATCTCCGAAACTACTGGTTCGAATTGAATAATTCTTTTTCTGTTGGATAGTCCAGTTATCGAGGAAGGCTTTGGGCTATATAACATCACGCTACGACCAATAGGAGCAAAGATATAGTGGTAAATGTGTAAAAAACGGGAGAAATTATTTCATCTTTGAAGCCTTCCGTTGCGTGCGCCGTGAAAACGGTTCAAGATACACAAAAAATATGTATTAAAGAATAATAGCCCTTTTAATGATCTAAAAAACAGTTCGCGACAGTATATGTCTATCTTTTAAGATTAACTCACAAAAACCGTTTTTATGGTACCTAATTTGGTCGAAATAATTTGTTTAAGTTGTATTAACAAAATAATATTAATCTTTATTCAAATAAACAAATAAATATGTTGTTGGTTAAGAGTACTTCATTGTGAATTAAAAAAAAACAGGTTTCATTCTGAAAATTCTACGGGAACTCGACCATTCCGAAAACCCCGCAAGAACGGGAACTATGTGGGAAGGACCAAAAATCTGTCGGAAGTCACTATTCCACGCAGACGAAGTCGCGGCAAAAGCTAGTGATTTAATAACTTACAATGTACAGTGAAATTTACTTCTAGTTTTTTTATTGATAAACTTGTAATTTTCATTCATTTTATACTCATATTAATAAAAGTAATAATTAAATAAATAACATAAACAATTCATTTTATTCTTATATTAATAAATGTAATCTATTTGATATCAGATTCATACAAATACCGAATCAGCTAATTATATGGATTTCTTTAAAATTGTGTTTTTTTGTTTATTTTTTTAACTAAAATTTTTATTACTTCTCTGAAATCTTTCAATCTGTCTATCACATGTTGTATTTACAGCTGACCATGGAGTAGTCGTAAATTGAAAAGTATGTAAATGGATTTTACGAATGTCAACTAAATAAATACAATTAATATCCTTAAAAATATATTTTTGGTTTTTCCGTGATTTTAGTAAATATTATCTTAGATCCTATTATGCACCTTTCATCTCAATATGTGAAGTTGTAGATTTTAAGTAAATAATAAGGAATTAATAGAGATATAAATTTTAGACTTATTGTTACCTAAGAAAAGCGCCACTTGCATCATGGTTTAATGAAAAAAAATGTCTTTATTTAATCTCAAAGATTATATCATATGTTTATGTGCAATACCTATTTTATATTTTAAAAGTAAGAGAAACAGATGCTGTCTTATTATACTAATGATATCATTTCGAGCATCTCATCTAGCTTGGTAAGTGTTGTAATTTACTCTCAGTGCCGACAGTGGATTTCTTTAAAAAATCTTTGATTCTCTCCAATTAGAGTAAGTAATACAAATATAGTAAAATATTTTGTCAAGAATTATAAATATGTGATATAAGAGTTAATTATGCACTAAACTCTGAGACACAACTGACGTAGTTGATAATTTTTCATAAATTTACCAAGTTCCTGAGCAATTTTCTGGATTTTTTAAAACTAAGTATTTGCTACAAGATATTAGAAGACATTGTAATAGATATGAATGAGAACATGTAAGAATTGTGATAAGTTATATCATGACATGAAAAAAATCTGTTTTATATATATAGAGATTGTAGAAAATACAAATGGAATATTAACAGCTTGATATCTTATGTTTCACAGAATATAAACTGAAATTAATTATATACACAATTTTTTTAGGCTAGAAAGCAAAATAGCTTCATATTGTATTAAATAGAGAGATGAAATTAATTTTTGACGACTGCTGTATACTTTATTTATTGATTTGTTATCTTTATTGGTAGACGTCAGCCATATTATATTTGAAAACTATTCTTGTGGCAGTAGGTCAAGATTAAAATAATGCCACCCACTCAAATGTGATGTGTGAAAAACTTTAAATCAATTAGTTATCTCTATAAATCGATATCATATATACACATGAAATCAAAGAAGATAAAATGTAGTCCTCATTAATTTCATAATTCTCAAGCCTAATTTAAAGGTTACTATGTAGTCTTTAAACATTTTAAACCATTAAAACTAAAGGTTGTGATGACGGTAACTAAATCCATCTCGATAAATACCGTTAGAAATAATATAGACATCAAAGCAGGTGTTAATCGAAAGTAGTAGAAAAACATAGAGTAACCAATAATAAGTTCATCTTATTCTAAAATTACTTCAAAATTTATTTACCTAGATCAAAAGATTTAACAGTAGCCAGAGCTTCCCACTTATTTGTTTTGGTACTCATTTTTATAATCTTCTATATTCTTTAGTGGCTTAGATGTTGTATCCACGATCTTGTTTCACTATAGTTTATTGCCAACATGTTCAGACAATCTAAGTTTTACAGTATGTTTGTGATTTGCTATACATTTTAAACAATTTATTTGATCAAAAGAAATTAAAATAAGTTACAAAATACAACACATTACACAATAATACTAATTCACATCAAGACGAAGTATCGTGAATTGTCACAATATGTCAAATCACATGGAAATGTAATATTTTTAATTTTAGGCACATATAATTTTTTATCAAACCAAAAAAATAAACACGTCACGACAATTTTTCTGTTCCACTTATAAATAGAAACTATTATCAAACAAAAAATAATAATTTATTGCGAATCAATAGTACTCGAAAAAAAAGTATATATTTGTGTAAAATAAGGTTTTTCATAATTCATTTGTTTTATAAGATGTTGAATACACAGTAAAAGCAGTATGTTTTGCTTAAAATACAAAATATAATTAATACAATAATTTTTATAAAATTGTTTTAAAACGACTGATTATATTAATTTTTGGTCCACAAAGTAAATATCAATTGGTGAAATAATGTGGCAACAGTATGAGATGTAATTGTCAAATTTGTCAAAATACCAAAACAATACCAGGTGGGAATGGGATTTATTAAAGAATTTAAATATTGTTTAAAGACTTTTTAAACTTGCTGCCCTTATTAGTTTCCTTGTTTTTAATATTAGAGGGTCTCTAAACACTGAATCGTAATATCATTTTGCTTCCCAGTTTTAATGGCTTGGTTATTAAACTACGTACGAACTACAATATAATAATGTAAAAAAGAATACTTCAATTAAACATATTTCCGTATTAATAAGAAAAGACCAAAATGAACCTTCTCCCAAAAACCTACAAGGAATTTGGCGAAAAAGACTATTGGAATAAGTTTTTCAAAAACAGAGGCAATAAAGCTTTTGAATGGTAAGAAAATTCTACTACTCATAAATTATTTTATAATTTAAGAAATATAGGTAATGAATATGCTATAAAGACTTTCGCGAGTATTTATTTAAGTTAATATGTATTATTTATTTGTTTTAAGGTATGGAGAATATTTAGAATTGTGTGCGCATCTACACAAATACATTAAGCAGACTGACAAGGTCCTTATACCTGGCTGTGGTAACTCCAGCCTCAGCTCTGATCTCTATGATGTTGGCTATAAGGATATCATTAATATAGATGTCTCTGAAGTGGTAATAAAACAGATGAAAGCAAAAAATGCTCACCGGACAGACATGTCGTTTTTACATATGGATGCTCTCAACACAACATTTAACAATGATGAATTCAATGTTGTTCTGGACAAAGGAACCCTAGACGCTCTTATGCCAGATGACTCAGCTGAAACTCTTCAGAGAATAGACAGTTATTTCTCGGAAATTAAACGATTATTGAAGTTGGGGAGACGGTTTATTTGTATATCTTTGCTGCAGGGTCACATATTGAGTAAATTGATAGACTTCTTCTGTGACAAATCCTGGTTGTTCAGGATTGTAAGGTGTCACGAGGCAGAGGAAAAAAGTGCAGAGAGTGAGGAAGGTACAACATTACCGGTATTCATTGTTGTTGCCACCAAATTTAAGGAATGTCCAAGATTGGTGAGTCTTATCTTTTTATATTGTTAGAATATGAAAATATATATATTTTCTGCAATAAGAGACATTTAAAAATATCTTTCTATGCAGTCTGTTTTCAATATATCTTAGAAATACTGGATTTTATTATGTACATATATAATAATACATACCTTTCAAAATATTACATACTTGTATAAAAACAAACATGACAAACAAATTTATTATTTATTACTACATTTTATTATAAATGTTACAGATACTAGAGGTATGTATGGCCGGTGAGAAGATGCAGAGTGTTCAATCAACAGATGAACTAAAGGCAATCATTAAATCGGTTCAGGATACAGCGTTCGTCACTAATGGTCTGGCCAAGGCAGATCTGGACGAAGATGATGAGGTGATTATTGATGATAGATTTCAGTAATACTGAACATTAAATGTATTGCCAACATATTAGTCTTTATTCATATTTGATTATATTATTACTATGAACATGGTTTTTTAAACCATTACTTCTCATAGGTTTTGGATAAAGATGATGAGATGATTATTGTTGATAAAATTCAGTAATCCTAAATGAGATCTAAGATTTTCGCGAGTCTTATTCATTTAAATGAAACTAATATTTTTCGGATTATACTACGCGACTTTATTTTTGATATAAACCACATACTCCCGATGTTTGGGCTACTTTACAGCAACCGTGATCATGGGCAGACGAGACATTTCCTAAAATATTAGTCGAAAAATATTAGTTTCATTTAAATCAGTAATCCTGAATATTGAATAAGTTTCCAATATATAAAAGCCTTTATTCATATTAAATATAATACTGCTATAAAGGTAGATGTAGTCTGTAATCGTTTTTCTCATTATAGGTTTGCTTAGATCTCATTCAGCCCGCTGAATCAAACCCTAGATACACACTATACATCATAAACCAGAAGAAATATCAGACAGTGAACAAGTATGCAGTGTTTATTGTGCCACAGGGAAGGTGAGATTTTGATATTAAATTATACTCCTATATTTTATTTGATGTTAACTGTGTTTGATCAAGCCTGGATCATAAATTACTTTTTCCAATGTTCTTGATTTGCTATAGTTTAATTAAATTATATGAGTATCTCTGTTGTTATTATATTTGCTTAATAAAAGTAATTTCGTTTTGCCAAGAAACAATTGGTTCGAGATCATCTGGTATGAATGTGTTTGAAATATTTTTCATATTCATTATGAACTTAGGTTTGTATTTATAATTTTTTTATCAACTGCTTAAATAGAATCCGCAATTCCGCAATGAATTTTGTTGTTACTAGAAAATCAATAGTAACAAAGTATTTTATAAGACAAGCTTGTAATCCAGTGATGGAAACTATGTTTCTATAATATATCATGATTATTAATGACAGGCAATGTGAATGGTTATTTGGCACACCAGCGGGTAGGAGACAGCTCCAGGATTCAGCAAGATTTGGTCGGTTGGTTGTGGCCTGTCTGAACCGAGGACATCAGTTCCCAAGCCTTGATGCTGTCAAGGATGAACTGGCTCATTCTGCTAAGATGCTAATGCCTAGTGGTTTCAGTGGACAGGTGAGTTGTTTCAGTGGAAATGTGGGTAGGAGTTAAATGGCAGTATCAGGTTTATGCTAACATCTATTACATACAGGAAGTTTTGTTAAGTTTCGCCCATGTAATATTTACTTGATACTAACTGCTATGTACAAATATCATTTGATAGTATTAGTCAGTGAAGCGAATGGGACGTAGTATTGTCAACTCGGGTCATTCATCCACGTATTTGATCTTGTAACCGGATGCCCACTGTAGTCGAGGTTTTTTTGCTAAAAAAAATGTTTGGACCAACAATTTCAAATTTGGGACCGTAGTACGAAACCAATGTCTAAAAAAACATATCGGTACCGAAACGCTTAGGTCGCTTTAATAAATTTTACAATAAGAATTAAGAGCTTTTTCTCGCTTAAAAATGCAAAGATGAATCTTCTAGTCAATTTATTATTCACATACACCAAAATAGTTTCATTAATAATTTTTTAAAGAACAATTATACTTAGAAACTATTATAGGAATTAGTATTAGTTATATATTTAGTAATTAATAATTGGTTGTTGTATTTCCAGATTCCGTTTCTGTCTCTGGGTGATATCGGTTCTCGCAGCCAGGTGTGTTCCGGGGAGTCTTCGTCGGGTCCTTACGTGGTGGAGGACGTGTCCGTTGAGGGTGTGATGTACCGACGACTGGTGTTCCTTCAGCATCAGGGACTGGTGCAGTCCGAGGCGAGGTTGAAGACTGGTAGGAATTAACCTTGACATTGCTTATACGACATTAGTCTCAATTTTAATTATTATTTTTAATAAATTGTGAAATCCCTACCAATATTATAAAAGTAACTCTGTCTGTCTGTCTGTTACGCTTTCACGCCTAAACTACTGAACTGATTTCAATGAAATTTGGTACAGAGATAGAGTTGACTTTGAGAAAGAAGATAGGATAGTTTTTATTCAAGACTTTTGAAAAGTTCTCTCGGAAGGCGATATAACCAAACTGCACGCGGGCGGAAATCTAGTGTTTTATATTCGTCTTTTAAGTTTATATGATTTTTTTGAAATTAATAAATAATCGTCTGCTGTTAAAACATATGTTAATAACTCAATGGCATGCTAGAAAGGTTATGTGATATATTGTGATTTTGTCCTTAACTATTCTAAAATTTCAAAAAGTAGTTAGGTACTAAACATAACATTATTTTTTATTCTGTAAACACTGTCATGTTAAGAATTCAGTTGCCAGTTATTAAATATGTACTTAATATTAATAAATAATTTCAGTTAAAAGGAAGAATAAATCCAAGCTGGTGGTGGATTTCGGCGCTATATCATTGTACCATTCAATAATGACGATCGGTTTACATCTGAACGACGGTATTAGTGGTGAAGTGGCTGTGTTTGGGCTGGGAGGTGGCGGCCTCTGTATGTTCATAAAGAAATGTTACGAAGATGTTAAAGTAACGGCCGTCGAAATAGACGGAGACATGCTGACCGTGGCTAGAGAATACTTTGAACTGGAAGTTGACGAACGTCTGGAGGTGCAGGTCAAAGATGGGCTGCTATTTTTACAGGAGGAAACTGATGCTGGTATGTGATACATTAGTTGTTCAATTAAGTGTGATTTTTCTATAGATAAATCGACTTTAGCAGTATAATAACTTGTTATTGGTTTTTATGTGCAAGTTGCATCAAAATCGTTCTAGCAGTTTCACAGATTAGTCAGAACAAATTAGACTAGGTAAATAAACAAACAATTTTTTTAAGATTACATTTTTGCTATCGAGTATTCATTCCTAATCAAATCATAACGCTAAAAACGTCACTAGAGTTAATAATAAAAAACGATACATACATATTTTGTATAATTTCTATTTTGTTTAATCGTCGGTTCATTCCGACATATTTTTTATATTTATTATTTATGGATTTTGTATTGACCAAATCAGTATTAAATCACCATTTTCACTCCAACATTTGGAACTCCACATTTTACTTGAAATGGGCTTGAAAGTAATAAATCATATTTCTATATATAATATTTGTCTGTACGTAGGTAATCATTACTCGTGCGTGATGTACGACATGGACAGTAAGCAGCATTCGGGCGTGTCTTGTCCCCCGGAACAGTTCCTGGAGGAACACGCTCTGGAACTACTTGTGGAGGTGTTGGGGACAGGTGAGGTTTTGTGGAGGGATTTATAGGGTTGTCCTGCAAAAAGTCAAAAAAGATAGGCAGACCCTGGCTAAAGCTAGAAAATTGCCAGGTAGAAGAAGATGTAATTCATGGTTATTTGTTAGTGGTTTTGCTGAAACTGATCTACGACAAGCTTTCGGAAATATTGAATTTTTACATTACTTTTTAAATCTTTAGCTATGGCAAAATAAGTTTAAGTATTTAAAAATATACCTATTTGATCTATATTTTGAAGTGTACTGTGATAATTGTTCTATTTATGCGAATGTTTATAATAATGTAAAAGAATCTAAGTTTTATTTGAATATTGATAATGTAACTTTAAATTTATTATGTTAAAGTAATTAATGAGATTTAATGGAGTAATATTTGTTTTTGTTTCAGGACAATTCATCTTAAACTTTGTATGTCGAGATAAGCAGATACGGGAATCAACATTGGATGTATTGAAGAAATACTTTAAACATATCGCGACCGTCAAACTTGTAACAGAGGTCAATGAAATAATATTTGCGACGAATGGAGAGACAGCGTACGATACGCAGAGAATAGAAGCAGCCGTGAACAGTATGAACCAGGCAGCGAGACAGAAGAAACTTGTTAAACTAAAATGTTTAGACATGAAAGATGTGTTCGACACACTCTGTATACTGAAATAGTCTAATGAATGTATAATAAAACAAATGTGTAAATAAAATTAACGCATTTAATGCCGTTTCTTTGATAACCGAACTCACTCGACTAGTGTCCAACGTATTGTCATTCATAAAATACTGGCATCCCGACGAACATTCAGCTTGATATAAAATGAAAATAGCATTAGCTTCACTAATTTATCACACTAATCTTCACCCGCGAGGGTCTAAATGACACGAACACTATACATAATAGTTAGAAACAGGTATAAGATACATAACGCGTATATATTAAGCACATATAAAACACATTCAAAGTTCTCAAAATACTTTTCTAAGTATGTTCTTGAGGCTTTTCTTCTTTTTGTTGCCGTGGCCGTTTTCCGATTGTCCGTTCTGTGAGATGTCCGTAGATTCGGACCAGAGACTGCCCGTGGGTGATTCTGAAGCCGCTTTTTTGCTTATTTTCCCGTTGAAAATCGGCTCGACGTTCCTTACGTCAGGGCTGGGCGTACTTCGGACGCTCTGACGGTTGAAGGTCCTCAGGAAGGCCGGTGACGACAACCGTCTCGTCTTCATCGTCTTATTTTTTAAATTGTTAAAGAAAGAGCCGTTAGTCTTCGGTAATTCCTTTTCTTTCACTTCATTCCCAGTAAATTCCTTTGGCTCAGTAACCGGAGCCAAGAATTCAGCTTCGTCTAATGTTATGGTGTTTTCTTGTAATTGTAGCAACCCTTCTTGATTGTGTGTTGTTTTAACCTCTAGTTCTAAGTTTCTGTGAACTATGGACGTTTTTCTCCTCCTATTCTTCTTGGCCACTTGCCATTCTCCAGGATCTTCGTCACAGTCGTTGTCATCGCACGACAACCTCGCTATTTGGAACGCTTCCTCGCTCGGTCGCCTCTTCTTAACGGATGGCGTCGAGTGTCCGCTGACACCTTCCACTGATTTTCTTCTAAACCTGTCTTGTTTTTTCTTTATTTTCTTTGGCACGGGCGCGACGACAGCTTCTTGCTTTCTCTTGGTCATGTAGTAAAATGCCAAAGCAAATATTACAGCTTGGTATATTAAGAATTTGACGAAAGTGATGTTTCCAAACCAGCTGTCCCTCTCTTCCATGAGTATCGTTACAGCGAGCGTCACCTGTGAGAGTTGTTCTTGTAATATGGTCATTTGTTCAAGATATTTTTGTTCGCGTTCGTTGCTCTTTCTCCTCTCTTCAGTCACCTGCAGCATGGTCTTCTCGAAGGACCTCTGCATTTCTTCCACTTGCTTCTTATATCTTCTACTCAATTCTTCCAAATATTGCCCTGACAGGGACATGTTTCGTTCTAGTGTCTGGAAAATACCAAAAAAAATATCGCTTTAGATATGTAGTTTTATTTAATAAATATTTATTTTATTTTAAAAAATACTTAAACATCTTTCAGTACTTGGCTTCTTAACGAAAATGCACTCTTAGTAATTATTGGATATTATAATCTTTTAGTACATTATTTTGAGTAGTTTTTAAAGTTTTCTTTAGTAAATTAAAAATTAAATAAGAAAACATACAACAACAAATTCATCGACACGAGCAGGATTCGAACCTTTAAGCTCGGGAATATTTCGCTCCAATTGAAGATGAATTAGTTCATACGTTTTAAATTTGCGACTTAAAGAAATCGAGTATAGATAGAACGTTTAGATGTGTACCGTATAAATTCTTTAATAGATTTTTAAATTCTCACCTTAACTCTATTCGACAGCCTCAGAAACACCGATTCCTTCTGTAAGGTCGCCTGTGCCTGGTTTTGGTTGACCGCGGCCGTGTTTCCCGCGGGTGTGGGGTCCACCGCTATCTGGTCTAAGTCGGATATGAAACTATCGCTATCCATTATAACTTGATCTGTTATTTCCTCTGCGTTATTTGCTGGTTCTTTCGACCTCTCCGTAGCGTCCTTTCCGTTGGACGAATCCTTCATTTCGTTTTCACTGTAAGCGTCTCCTTGTTTTTCTTCAGCTAAAGATTCTTCTTGGGGCTCTGGTGCTGTTTGCTTATCGTCTAATGTCGTCTGAATATCGTCTTTGCAAATTTCTATTTTACTATCATCTATGGTAGCTTCCGTAACTGTTTCTGGGACTTGTTCAGGCGTCACGTTTTTCTCTTCCATGTGTATCGCGTCGCTGTCTTTATGATCGTCCGTTTCGTTACTTTTGATGGGAGTCAGATCTTGTTCAGTATTTATGTTACTGTTCACGTTCTGAGTCGACTCCTCTACAGTTATGTTTGATGTAACATTCATTTCGGTTTCGAAGCTTGTGTTTAAGACGACCTTTTTTTCTTTAATAGCTAAAATGTTACACAAAGCTGCTAAATATTTGGGAGGGAACAAAGCATTGATGTATGCTACGCGCTCTTCGTGAAATTCAATTGTCTTTGTACTTTTAAAGTCCAACCCGTACATCTGGCACACACTAGTACACTTTAAAGTATCTTTTAAGAACACTTGCCGCAATAAACTCGTAAGCCTATCCGTGCTACAACTAAGTAGTTCATAAACGTCATTGTAAAGAGTTTCACTACAATTGTCACACACTATTATATGGCTGGGTGAGCAACACTTTTTGTACATATTGTCCGTAGAAGTATCGTTACGTTCACTTGATATATTTTTAGGAACTTCTGTTTTGACTAACGCTTGAGCAGCTTTCTTCATAATAGACATGACGGCGTCCCTCGCGGATCCGAACAGATTCTTCGAGGGCTCAGTCTCCGCCGCGGGTATGTCGGGGACGTCTATTATCTCATCATCTTCATCATCATCCACGTGAGCTGAATGCTGGGAGCTCTCTTTTTCCAATACTTCAAATTCAGAGGTGCCGTACACCTTGAATAATGATATCGGACAGTAGTGTTCAGAGCCGTGGTGAGAGAGCATCTCAACTTTAATAAACTTGCCGAACAAGTGAGGGTACAGATCAAAGCTTTGTACGTCTCTCATTTCTTCTGCGGTAAATTGGCCGACACTGGCCCATTCCCGAGTAGGAAAACGATCGCTGAAATATACAGCGATGTCCTTCGGAGTTGATGAGAATAGCTCGAAATTAGCTATTTCTATTTTTTGTGCTTGAACAGCTTCACAGAGCTCCACGACGAACCATATTCGACTGTTACACGTGTTCAGCATGTACTCGTCTCTGTTGGGAGATAGGATAGAGCTGGCAGACCCCGCTTCAGGGTTCACGGCAACTACTTTCGCTCCGCACGCAAGCGAAGCATAATTTTTCGACCGCAACTTGGTGCTCTTGCTGCTAATATTCGTATTACTATGACTAGGTTGACTTGAATGATTCAAAACGGTATCTTTCTTCTCAGCCTCAGCTAATTGTTTTTGCGCCCATTCCGAGAACGAGGGTATATCTTCTTGAGGTGTTTCCGGTTTTATTGGAATGTTTTCTTCCAGCTTTTCCTCTTCGTGAGATTCAGTTGTGGATTCCACATCAGGAGTAGCGGTGGTGCTCTGAAAGGCTTCATCCAGTTGTCTTGTTTCGTGCATGGACTTAGCTTTAACGATGAGTCTGGGTTCCGTACTTTCCTTTTCCACCGGGTCCGTTATTATTTTGTCCTCTTCATCTTCATCGGAGCTGGCGATCGCGAAGCTCGACGTTTCGTTGTGTTGTTCCGAGTCATTAACGAATAATAAATCTTCCGGTGCTCTTAGATCCAACTTTGCATTCTCCGTCAAAGAGATGAGTATCGGCGGCTGTCCCGTATCAGGTAACCTGAAAGTTGGAAACAATTCATATTGTTGAATGTTGCTGCATTATAACCACCATTACGTCCTATTAAACTGACGCTTGGCATTTCGGTGAAACTAAATTAGAAAACCGAATCTAATTTGAAACACTGTTGGCTAACAATCCGGGAAGTATCTTTTAAACAATCGATTAAAAATTAGATACAAATTAACGACGATGTAAACGGGTCGGAAGCGGGCCATTTAATTTCATCGAAAAGGATTTTATTATCACATGTTATAGAGGATTTCCCATAATGAATTAATGCCAATAAATTATTGAAAATTAACGAACTATTTCAAAAAGAAAAATATATAACACATCCTCCATTTTAAAAGGTATTAGGGAATGTTTTAACAAACAATACTATTAATTTCATCATTGGTCAATACTCTTCAAGTTATTGACAGTATATAAGCGTACATATATTTAAATTTTTACCAAAGTCATCTAAATACAATTCTTCCTTTTTACATTTGTACGAAACCTATGAAATAATGTTCATAATATTGCATTCAAGAAGTAGTTACTGAAATATGTACTTCAATAACAGAATTTGTTGAGCGAACACTCGAACCAATTGTGACAATCAAAACAACAATTGAAACATGCGGGACGTGGAATGTTGAATTATATACATACCAAAAAGAAATTACGAAACAAATGCTTATATAGAAAAATAGGTAGGTAGGTAGGTAAGTAGGTAGGTAGGTAGGTAGACATTGGTACAGTGTAGACGATGTTCAATTTTATATTAATATGCTTTATAACTATTGAGAAGTTTTCAATACAAAATCATTATATATAACAATATAATCCTAATTAATTATGATTTAACGAAAAATATTTGGATATACAATAATTATACCAATAAATATTACAAAATCAAAAACATATTCGTAAAAATTAATTCCTTAAAAATAGAGAGCAGAATATTTCACGGACAAAATGTATTAACTTAAAACATAATTATTGTTCCATAGAATGGATTATAATTTATAAGTATCGGAACAATAATTCTAAATAGGATGTAAGAGCTAAGTATACAACCGTCGGCACAAGTTGGTAATTGTTTATTAAAGTGCAACATTTTCTTTAACAATAAAACAATAACAATAGATGAAAATCAAAACTGTGTGATGAACGCTCTATTCTAATTAAAACTATACTTCTAATACAAATGTATTGCAACTTTTCAAACAAATAAATCCACTGTTATATTGTTCTGCGGTACATCTAGTGCACTAAAATTATTAACGTTTGACGGAGATTGCCCTAGTACATATAGATATTACTAAATATTACTCTGAACTCAAGGAGTTTCACGATTTTACTTATACAATAAATACTTCAATTTCTCGCTGATAAACACGTAATATTAAAGCATAAAAAAGCATATATATTTGTTTATTTTCATAGGAAACTGGTTTATATTACGCTGTTTAAAGCATGTTCTATCAAATAACCTTGAAAGGTAGCATTCATGATTGTAATGAAAATGTCCCCAAGTGATATCTTACGTGTAGAATATTTTGGTGAGCCCCTGGTGGCCGCCGTAGGAGAGCAGTTGGCAGAGCAGGAGAGCCGCCAGCAGCGCCCGCGGCGGCGACATACCGCCCGCGCCGCCGCATTGGCCGGGAGCACCCACCACACCCGAACTTATCACCCGCACACACACGCCACGCGCACACACATACACACACACACGCACACACCTCTACGACATTTACTATATATCCAGTCCTCGCAACAACTTAAATCCTTCGAGAGTCTTAAATTACAAATGTATCGCTTCACTTTCTTTGAATCGACAATTTTCTGAGACTCGTGCTTTTCGAATCGATCTAAAAATAAACAAATGAATTACTATCCACACAAATCTGTATGAACTTTATTTGTGGATGAATTTAAAACGTCTCAATGCAACAAATAGTTAATTATTTGAAATCCTTTCCATTTCCCATAGCATCCTATATTTCCTGCATCACGACAACCCTACCGTCTACCTACTATATACTTTACAGCCCCTACTTTGTTATTTAAGTATCGTGTTATGTCGATAGAGGAGTGGCACTCTCAGTTATAGTATTGAAACCGTTGCGGGCGATGTATTTAAGACGGTTAACTTGAATGGATATTTATTCCCGAAGCTGCATATATATTTATACTAATTTTTGCCCGCGACTTCGTCAGAATCAATTTCGACATAAGTATTATATGTATAGCTGACCGGGCAAACTCTTTTCCGCCCTAAAGGCCATAAATAACCAGATATAGAGTGTATTAAGTATTTTTTCCTTTTCGATCGAACAGAATTAAATATCCTATGTCCGTCTCCTGGTTCGTTCTTGACTTATTAATGGTATAACTAACAACACAACTACCTTTTTCATCATCTACATTATATCCAGGAATGAATCTCGTTCATTCGAGACAGATATATCCATAGGTAATCATGATCCGAGCATTTCTTATTATAAACGAGTTCAACAAAACTTTAATTTATCTATAGAGACAAAACAATAGCAAGGGGTCATTGACACTGACGGTTCATTAACGAGATTATAACAATACATTAGTTTTAATGATACAATTATTATTATTTTTTATTTACATAACGCCCGCCGACCGACTGTGTCGAGATAAACTTTCTATTTCATACATATAACTAACTGACTTATGACACTACAATTGTTCTATAACTTTTCACCATCTAATTAACTATATATTACACGCAGACTTAGGTGCTGACATTTTTTTAATTATTTTACGTAAGACTCTTACTGAAAACCTGTTCCAGAAGGAAAGTCTATTAGTTGTCAGCCGGTCGAGACAAATGGAAAATAATTACACACTGAACTAATAGAGTTTTTTATCATCATTAACTTGATAATAGTGATTTTGATAATTTTATTTTCATATACGTATTTAAAATTTGCAGTCACACTACTTACGAGGCGTTCGACGTTTCTCATTCATTGAACTACATTTATACTATGAGAAAATTTATGAATGAAATACTTTTGACGCACCGTATGCAGTGTGACGATGAGAACATGGAGTAAGCATAAAACGATATTTAATATTAAGCATGTGTTTGACTGCCGCATGTATTTTTAAATTAGCAAAAGTAAAAGTTCGTTCCCATTAAAATTTCTAATAGCCAGAGACCAAAATTTAAATGACTTCGATATGTATTAAAACAATAAAAAATTACATTAAATATGACACGTGAATAATGAAATTAAACTCAAAAACTGGTTGTAGGTATTACAGTGGACGTTAGAACCAGTGATAAAAGTGAAAAGTCTGTACAGTAAATTTAACGTCGACACAACTTTAGTGAGTAACACATCAGTAAAACAAACATGGCTTTAATGATGTATGGTTTAAGTGTGTGAAATATTATAGGAGATTTCATTTACTTTATAACATAGGACGTTGTATGAGGATTCAGTCACCTTTCTGTTCAATATGACTAACTTATTCTTAAAGATATACGTACATATGTATTGTTATATATATTGAGTGTGGAAAGTATTAAGAGTGTGATAAACAAGTCATTTATTTCTAAATTGAAATCACCATTGTGTTATTCCTTAACTGCTTTCAATTCAGTTAAGTTTTTATGAGACTAAAAACAAAACCACTCTCAGTCTTCTATGACACGAAATGGAATATGTAATTTTGTTGATGTGACGTGTGATCTCGTGAGCATTATTTCGGTAAATAATTTCCTTATACCTAACAGCATAATTTATCATCAATAAACTTATATTATAGGAAATTCAATAACTTGCATAATGAATAGTTAAAACAAAATAACTGATAGACATGAGAGGACGCCAGGAAGGACGGTCGTGTGCCAGATTTAATATGTGGTGATAGTGACTAACCGGTCACTGACTCAAAAATATAGACAGAGCCACGAAAATAATTAGTGTTAAAAATAATAATATTATTTATATAACAATATTTACTACGTTTCAATATTAAAAGAATGTTTAAATATTCTTCTAAACAATAGCTATTTATAACAGCAAACAAACAATGCAGTACGTTTGAGCGGACTTCGACCTTGTGCTCTAATTTGCTTCCAACTAATATTTCACGACCGATGCATACATATCTAGGAATGTTCTCATATTTTTATTATGCGAAAGCAATTTTACGATTCACATTCACTTAAGATCTTCCTTGTCTTTTGTAAATTTTTGTCGTGTAAGTATTATGAATACAACCGTGTCAATAGTTTTGCGAAGTATTTAAAATACAATTTAACATGTGTCAATTAATTAAGTACATTATTTAACACACATATCGATCGGTAATTTTAGCGATGTATGTCCTTGTGATCGCACAATACACTTGTGTAGAACAAGATTGCAAAAGTCAAAACAGCTTTCGCCGACAGAGCAACGTACCATGTAGGCGGCGTGCTGACTGTTCGCACACAACAAAACACGATCTACTGTCTACTGTCTACTACTAGAGACACGGGTCTACTGTGACCGATGCTACTTCACCACCCTAATCCATATCATATTAAGACGGTCGCTGACTTCCTATGAGTCATCCTATGCATACAAATAGATGATAGTAAAACTGTAATATTTATTGTCAATGTTTATAAATGAGTGATATTCGAGCTGTTGTTAGTGTCGCAGGTGTAGGTATAGGTTAGCGGACAGAGTTCAGTGCGACCCAACTTCCCGACCCGCGGTCTGTTTCGGTCAGTCGGTATTAGAAACCGCGCCGCCTACCAGTTTTACCGATGGGGGCCAGCCGTGGGCGAGATTTAATGAAGCCTGGATTGCGGAGACAAGCGAATAATCTAATATTTAGTGTCCATTGTCTGGTGGTGTCTGGTGTCGCAACAGTCGCCGGCGGGTGGCGGTTTCTTTGATAGCCGACGCTTATTAATCTTTGCACTTCCCTGTATTATGATCACTTGATCTCTCGCCACCACCTATCGGTTACGGTAT